GAATGTAGAAGGATAAAAAAGCATTGATCATTTTATTGTAGTTCTCAAATCTTAATATTTTCAAAACTGAAAGATGGTTCATATCCTATAGATTTACAATATTATCACATATTTAAAACTTTGTGTTAGATAGGGATCTTATACTTCTAATTGCTTTTCGTGTCATTTGTAAACTATATAAATCACATTTTATTTTAAATTTAGCCACATTTCGATTTTAATTTGAATAATAATTTAAAATTGGTAAAACAAAATTTGAAATTTTAATAAATATTTAAACTAAATAATACATCCCTATATATTGTTCAAATGTATTAAACAGAAAGAGAAACCAAATGAATCCAGATACAAAAATGAACTAAAATACTACTTAGAAAAACATGAAATAATACTGGCTAGATAGTCATGATAAACGTATAAGAGTTAACTCTTATGATCGTTCTTTCTTTCAGTTTCACCATGGTGGCCACCTCCATCTCTTTTTCCCTGTCCAAACAAAATAACTTTAGTTAATATGACACTCTTATATTACATTATACAATCAATCTTGTAATGTAAATACCAGACTAGTGCGAAAGTTCAGTATATTTGCATAAGCTGCCAATACACTTTCCTATATGATTTATTTAAAACATCAAGTCTCTATACCATAATGTATATCCACATATATAATCTGAAAAGAAAAGTATTAACAGAGTCGTACCTGATCGCTTGTTTTGTTTCCAAGCAGCTGTTGAATAATTTCAGTTAAACTTTCAACTTGGCTTTCCAATGATGTCATCTTTGTCTTTATTTGAACAACTTCCGCATTAGCAGTTTCACATGCCTCATATCTTGCTTGGTTGGAAGGCATGATCAACTTTGAAGGCGTTGGTCTACGACCAAGACAACGAATTCTTCTTGAACATTCTGGACCAAACACTTGAGAATATTCATCATTCAAACTAGCTGCGACATTGTTTGAAAATTGAGTTGATGACTTTTGGTTCAACAAAGGAGTAAGCTGATCCTGGTAAACACAGTACAGATTCAAACGTCTTCACATCAGTGACGATGATCAGAATCAAGGCAAAGATACCATCAGCAACAATTTTAACAATTTATCATCCATCACAAGCAATGCTAATATAATGTTTCCTATATAAGAAACCTCGTAACAGTATTCTACTAAACTAATATATGTTTCCAACAAAACCATCACTACTATATGGTGAGCATGTTTTAAGTTTCGGTAGTAAAACTAACCGCACAATATTTAGCATCATCAGTTACGAAATTTCCATCAGTTTTCATGTGTGTCGCAATGAAGAACTCTGCCCGGCATGGATCTCTACCAGTCTGATTTTTCTGTTTTTAAAACATATGCACAATCAATATCTAACTAGATTTTGACCCGTACTTGAGAAGCACAGGATGGTATAATTTTTAATAAGAAAATTTGAAATATTGATATTGTAATTATGTAAATCATAGTATGTTTGTGATATATGTTGATGAATTAATATTATTAGTGAAACAACCAACATTCTTTTTTTTTGTTTTTTATAAATAAATACTAAAACAATTCTAGCGGAAGTCTTTAAAATAAATAATCACTAAAATAATAAATCAGATTCAACAAATAATTCGAATAAGTAAATAAAGAAATACTAGCAACATAAACACCAAGTACTAGCAAGTTCAGACAATGCAATAATAAAAACACATAAAATCCTATCATCCCCTCGTCAGCCTTATTCCGCGATCATACAAATCTTTTACCTGCAACACATTGGAATAGAGTTGCGTAAGTATTATCATAAACTAGGTTGAAGCCTGCGCTACGCGCGGGTGGTATTGTTATTTTTTTCTATATATGATTTTACTTTACAATGTTGTGAAAAAAAATATATTTTAAATATGACATTTTGTTTTACCTGAAATCCGAACTCATCCCAAAAAAACACGAATCAAACTTAAAGCAAATTTTTAAAAAGACTCAAAACGGTTTTCATATCTTTAAACCAGCAAAACTTGGAAAAAAATCCAAAAAACTTATAAAAACCCAAAAATCCTCAAAAAAAAGCTGATTAACCAAACCTACAAAAAAAAAACACTTGAACAGAACCCAAACCAATTAAAAAAAAAAACTCGAACGGGTTCTCTATCTCTAAACTCAAAAACCTGAAAAACCCGATCCAAAGACGACCCGAAAGGCCGAAATCCCAGGTATAGTCTCTCGTTTAGTTTCTTGAGTTTTTTTCCACCAATTGTGCTCATTTTCCCTCTTTTGTAACCTTTAAATTGCAATTTCGACATGAAACATAGATTTAGCAGAAGTGTATCTATATCAATGTCTTTGAGTATCATATAAGTGAAACTCCGAGTTGTTCATTTTATAAATAATTTATCTTAAAATTTGAGTTGATTTAGGAAAATGCTACGCACGAATTTTTATAAATATTTTATAAATATTTTCGATTAAAAGTAATCAATTCAAAATTATGGATCATTATTTGATGTCATATACAATATTTTGTTATGTAAATTTGATCTATATTTGTGTTTCCTGAGCAAGCTATTACTTTTTCTGCTTATTTCAGTAACTATTGAAAAAAAATGTTTATCAAGGTATCGTTATAACATCAAAAATGAGTTCATTATCATTTAATTTCATGGTTTGGGTAAAAATTATTTTGATGACAAATCACTCCTCACTGTAAGTTATGTAATAATTTTTTGTTTTTCGAATAAACTATTTCTTGAGATTAAATAGGAAAAATCATGTCTTGAAGATAAACACAAAGAAATGTTACAACTACGCAATTATCTAGTAATCCAAGTTTTTGTACATTAAATTTGATTGGAGTATTTTGTATTACAGTTTATTACACTCTCTCACTGTCTTGGATCTTCTTCTATTATTTTCATTTTTGCGTTCTCCGTGATTGTTAGGTTACCCATTTTCTTTTTTAGAGAAAATTGGCAAAATACACATAAATATAGGAGTCTTTGTCCCTATACATATTTTTGATAGATTTTGATAGATTTTTGTCCTAATACATATTTTCTAAACTTATAATCCAAATTTGCCCTTAAAATTGATTAACTCTTATTTGATTAGGTCAAAATCAATTTGGGGTTTTTCATTTTGCTTTTTCACCGATTTGAAACTAAATTGTTTTTTGCTTCTTCTCTCCTTTCTTCTCCTCCTCCTTCTCCTCACTCGCCTACTGTTCTTTCTCCTTCTTCTCTTATTTCTTCTCATTTTTCTTTTCTTCTTTCGTCGACACTCGCCGACTGTTCTTCAATCGGAACTCCCTTCACCAACGCACAGCTCCGTTCGCCGTCTCTTCTGTCGGCCGGAAATCTATTCTCCTCCTTCGGACTGGTTTTTCCTCTGCTTCTCCACCACATGCTCGAATTTAACTACAGGTTAGTGTGAATTTAGACTGTTGTGTTGTAATTGAGGATTTGGTTATCGTAATTGAATTGCTGTGTCGTAATCTCAAATTGATTTGGGGCTTTTATCTGAAAATTGATTTGAAAATTACTTAGATTTGATTTGGGACTTTTGTCTGAAAATTGATTTGGGTTTTACTTAGGTTGGTTATCAAGCTTATTTTGTATGTCCAGTTTGTTTTACCAGCTAATTGAAGTTTATTGATACATGATAAGGAAGACTCTGCCAAATCACACAGTGTTTTTAGTTCTAGGTACATAATTGAATGTCAAAGTGTTTTTTTTTTGCAGAAATTGAACTCTACGAATGATAAGAGATAATGTATGTGGTAAAACACGAAATCTACATTTGCATAGAAGGCTGTGTTTATCGTAGACAACAAATTCTAGAACATGCAAAAGATTGTGTCATCGTTAGAACATATCTTCTACCAAATTTACAAAATCGCAAAACATAGAGAAACAAGTAGAAGTGATATTCTACTAATTGTAGAGGTATGGATAGATTATCAAAGTCATGTTCTACTGAAAGAGGATGTGTGGATAAATAGTAGGCATCAAATTCTAGCGTCACTAGATGTAGTAAAAACAAGTAGAATACATATTCTACTTTGAATTTCAAAGCTGGTAGAAAAAAAACTTCAATACATTTTTAAAATATCATATTTTTGAACACAAATTGTGAAAATATTCTAAAAAGTATAAAGATTATTTATCTGATTTTTAGAATTTTTTGGAGGTTCTGAATAAACTATTTCATATTTTTATAAATATTAAAGGTATTAAAGGCAAAAATAGGTAAAAGTATAAAAATATGTAGATGGACAAACCCTCCTATAATCACAAATCTCCCCCTTTTTTATGATTTGTTTCTTGTTTATTGGTTTTTTAATTTGTCCAAACCTTCTAATTTTTCAATTACTTTAAACTTTAGCGTTTCTTCGAATTGTTTTCATCACTTAACAACTTCTATCCTTCTCCATAATTTTTGTGCTGTTCGTCGTGTGTGGGAATTTTTTTAATTTTATTTGATCACTGCTCTTTATGTCTCACAGTCACAGTGTTTCTATCTTTTGGTTCCTTTAGTTTATTTTTAGAAATTGTTTCTTATCTTAATCATCCTTATCCCTTATACATATAGTTTTATGTTGTACATTTTTTGGTTAATTTTTTTTCTTTCTTGTTCTAGTATTTCTTCAATTGTTTGAAATTTCGTCACCCACAAAACTGGATATCTTTCCTCTCTGTTTAGTACTTATACTTATGATAACCGAAGAGGCAATATGTTAGCAACTAAAGCGAAAACATTGAAACAATTCTGCAACTCCTCTGTTCCATTCTCCTTTTCTCTTCTCAATACTTTTGCTAAGTTTTGTCTTTAAACTGCAGTACAATTTCCCTATAATCCAATTTTTAACTGCAGTCATATTTTGTTTTCTACCACCCTAGGTCCTATGATGCGAGTCTTGCCTTAATATGATGCGAGTCTAGCCTTAATATTTTATTTGTAAAGGCTTTCACTATCAGTTGATCTTTTTGTAGTAACTCCCGCAAAAAAGTTAGACAATGTGTTGACCTCTCTTGACAACAACAGGCTCATTCGCGAGCACGCTCTCTAGATGATCAAGAAGCTCTTTAGCTTGGCATGCTCCAAAGTCTGGATCCGCATCTTGATGATGCCACACCAACGCACTCTCTTTACACTATATACTTGTTCCATCTGTTGCCTCCACGTACGATCTCATCACTGGCTCCACCATTGACTTCCACTCTCTATTCGTTGACGAGTAACAAGTCTCCCATTCACTCTTGCTATTCCACCTAAAACCCCACAAACAAACAAAAAGAGTCTTTAACTTTATTCAAGAAAACGTTTCTTTTCAAGAACATCCATGGAAGAAAGCAAGTTTTACCTTATGAAGTATCCATGTACAGCTGCTATTCCACGATTCTCACAAGGAGATAGCCAATCGCTTAAAGACTCCAGTCCTCAGAAAGAGCTTTCAAAACAGAGAGAACCTCATCGCTTGGATCTTGTGGAGCTTTCAGGGACAAGAGTGCCAACAGAACAAATAGTTACCATTTCTATTTTCTGTTTCAACCTTTGAGGAGTGTCTATAACAAACTGACCTGTTACAATTCGAAATTCAGACGTTAGTGAATATAATGTTATAATATCATTCTTTACATGCAGAATTTAGCACATGAACTTACTCATTTTCTTAAAACCAAAATCATAGGGTATCGCTGTATAGAACTCTCTGCATCAATAATGATACAAAGTTAGACTAATTCGAATCCAATTTCATTCTGGGAAACGGTTATATATACTCCACTAACTACGACACTAAGTCTAGCAATTAACCAGATACATACCCACTCAGTTCCTCAAGCTTCGCTCTATCATACCGATCCATCACCTCCGATATTCTCTTCCACACTTCATCACCAAAAGGAGCTATTATCTGATATCACCAACAAAATTTAAACAAAATTTAATGAGACTAAACCAAACCATTTACTATTTTGACCTTTGATATTGTGGACTTGCTTAGCTTGCCAAGTGGCAATTTGTTGCGTTATATCCTTCAAGTTCAAAATTCCAAAAATATATGAGAGGACAGTATGGCAATTAGGTAAAAGTAAAGAAACCATGCAAATTACAAAACAAGATAACGGGACACCAAAACTAAGAAGTTATGTATCGAATATCAATATACAAAGATAAGGAAGGGAATCTCAAACACTGCTAGTTATGACTATGGAAGCATTCGCTTAAAAGAAGAAAGAAAGAGACTAACCTATTTCCATCATGTGTTGTGCCATCATGTGTTGTGCCATCATGCTTACATTGCATATCAGAGAGATGAACTTGGCAACCTGAGGATCTAGTTTTGATTCCTCAGGTTTAACTTGAGATGATTATTGGGGAATATTATTGACCTGAGAAGAAAGAAAAAAAAACTGGAAACTTAGAGCAAGTCCATATGAACGAATTGCTATCAACGAAAAAAAGTATCTATGCATACAAATATCATTCCAACAGATACTTTTGAGCATGCCACATCACAATTTGTTAAAGAAGAAAACATAGAGGCATGACCAGTCAGGATTCAGAAACACTCACAACTGAATCATTTTCCTCGTTGTTGTAGTCCATTTCGAGCCATGTATAGAGCTTAGGAATAGGGATAAACTCCTTTCTGTCAGCCCAAAAATTCTTTCTCTTGTCAAGGAACTTATTGCCAAATATTTCTATTGCACGATCACATGAGTCAAAATGCCCATCTAATTTACTCTGCCCTTTCACTCCAACTCTTCCCCATCTGAAGTAGACCATATACGTTTTCCCGTTATCTGACTCTGCACACAGATCACTCAGAGATTCATGATAACAGTTATTGCTAACAAAGAAATGAAGGAGACCAATCATAATTTGTTCCAGAGACTGACCTAGCACTTGTAGGACAAATAACTTGTTGTTATTATCCCTGACATTTGTCTAATTTAGGTGGTGCGACTTGAGCGATCATAATCAGGACAATTTGTTACAATCACTAGCTGCAAGATTCTCAATAAGAACCTTAGCTTCATCAACTGTCTTGGTCATGAAGTTTCCATTGCTTGCAGTATCCAATGAAAGCTTGTACTTGTGGTCTATGCCACGATAGAAGATATTCCATAGGTTTCCCTCCTTGAAACCATGATTAGGGCAGTCCCTAATGTACTCCTTGAATCGATCTAGCGCCTCATAGAAAGATTCATTAGTAGCTTGGCGAAAGTTGGAGATCTTGTTCCTACAGAAACTGATCTTTGTTTGGTGTAGAAGTGGTTGATGAAAGCGGCCTTGTACTCATCCCAAGTGGTGATGGAGTGAGCTGGCAGAGACTTCAACCATCTTGAAGCTTTGTCGCCAAGAGAGAATGAAAAGAGCTTGCACTTCAAGTAGTCAGCTGAGACTCCATTGGATCTAGTAGTGCTGCAAATCTCTTCAAAGTTTTCTATGTGATCAAGAGGATGTTCGGCTGGAAGGCCATTGAATTGGTTCTGTCTAACCAATGCTATGATTGAGGCTTGATCTCATAGTCATTCCTTGCAGGAAGTGGTGGATGGATAGGGTTTCTATCCGTGAAGAAAGCATCGGCAGAGTCATAGTCTCCGATTGTTTGAATGTCAGCTTGAGGTTGCACATTCACATCCCCAGCAGGAGGTTGTGGATTAGGAGGAGGAGGTGGATCTCTTCCTTCTTCTTAGCTCGCTACTTCAGCGGCATGAGCGCGAGCTGCTTCGTCGGCCATCTCTTGGCTTTTTGCTTCCTAAGTATCTTCTCAAGCTTGTCTATCTCGGATGTTCAACTAGGTTGTCTTTGTTGGACTTCCTAGTCATGCACCTGAAAAGAGTCTAGGAAACAAACTAAATCAAAAGGGAAAAACAAAATAAAAGAAAAGAAATCAAAAACTAGAAATTCAAAAGCAAAAAAGTAAGAAAAGTAAGATTCTAGACTAGATCCTAGTCGAGATTCAAAGGTACTGCTGCAGTCCCCGGCAACGGCGCCAAAAACTTGATGTGAGTCAGGTTTTACCAAACTCTTTAGACCTCTGCAAGTGCACAGATCGCGGAAGTATGGGTATCGAACACAAGGACTGGCTATTGAGTACACTTTGAAACTATGGATTTTGGATCAAGCTAAAACAAAAGTATGATTGAGAGGTTGTAATTGTAACTAAACTAGCAAGTAAACGAGGTTGTAAATCAATGGGAAGAAGCGCTAGGTCATAGGGGCTAATCGCAGAGAAGCAAGCAATGATCAATGAAACAATGATATATGATATTGATTAGGGATATTGGGATATTAAAACCGTCTAGAACACAGATCACGAATATAAAACCATTCCACTTTCGAGGCTCCGGTTCCTTTGTTAATCTACCTAGTCGCTAAACTTTTGGTATGTCCCTAGGTGATTAAATCAAGCATTAGATCGAGCGGGTTCCGATACAGTTCACTAGGTTATAGTAAATCAACTTTCGCAGTCTAAGAAACCTAGCTTGTCAAAGAATATGTCCGGCGAATGATACAGCACTTTGTGGCTCAAATCAACCTAAGATCGGATTACTAGATGCGCGGTAAAGCAATCACATTAGTTAAGTGACAAGACGAGACAAAGACTCTAAGATAATCCCTAGCTAAACATCGAAATCAAAGATCATGCAAGCAACTCATTGATTAGTAACCCTAGCAACCTAACTAGTGGATTACTCAGACATGATCAAAGCAATAACACAAAGAGATGAAGAAAACATCATAGATAGATAAAGGTTTATAAAACTTCTCCAAATTGAAGTGAGGAGGAGAGATCTTCTCCTTGAAATCTCTAGAACAAAACTCTAAGTGTAAAAAGTGATACAATATGCGGCTCTCTTCTCAAGAGGCTAAAAAGTTGTATTTATAGTACTAGGTCTTCAGAGGCGGCATTAGGTTAAGTGGGCCGTGAAAACGTGTGAAACGGGCTTCGGGTCGACCGGACCGTTCGGACGGTCGGTCGGGACGTTCGGCCGCTATCGGGTCATGATCGGCTATCGGCACATCGGGTCGATCGTGGCCGAGAGATTTCTCGTTCGTCGTCGGGTTCGGCCGGCGGATGATAAAGGCTTGAATGTTCTGGCCGGACGAGGGACGAGGCCTTCCTGGTCGGGACGGTATGATCGTGCGTGCGCACGGGTCGTGTTGTGCGGTCGTGGAGCGATGCCTTCTGTTCGTGCGGTGCGGTCGTGCGCGGCTTATGGTGGCGAGACTTGGACGGGACGACGTGGGTTGTTGCCTTCCGGGTCGGTACGTGAGCTCGGCCGTGCACTAGGGGATGGATGAAGTTTGGGCGCGGGTCGATCGTGGGACGATAGTTCCTCGGTCGGCCGGTAAGCGCGGTTGGAACACGGTTGCTCGGTTTAAGCCGTCTGGACCAGTCTTCACTAAATTGATCATAACTTCATTTCTACTCATCCAAATGATGCCAATCCACTTGCGTTGGAGAGTTAACTCACTCATGACACGCGGCGAAGTGATCTTGATGAAATCCATTGAGTAGATTATTTTCAGGCCTTCTCAAAGTTGATACTTCGGTATGGAGCGGGTTGAAGTGCAAATCCTGCGGTTTTGCTCCAAAATGCATCATTTCACCTGTTAGACTCTTAGTACTATAAATCCAAAACTACCTTTTCAGATAGAAAATCTGCTAAAAAACATTAGAAAACCATACTAAAATAGCATAAAAACCATGTAAAATAGAGATATATCAATTTCACTGAAACTCAACACCACAATAGCCATATGAGTTAATGTTCCAATGCCGTTGGAATTATGTAATTTGGATGAGCATTTTAAGAGATATCACGTTTTAACTGAAGACTGTTTCACAGCCGGCTGAACGCACTCGGCTGGACAGAAACCCTATTGGCTTTACTCGGCCTTCACCACACCGAACCACATGCACGCACAGGCGACCCGATTAGGAGTTTTTGGTCTCAAGATTAACGGTATTGCAATTAACTGCAACCGCTTTATTAATGACTCAGCCATGCCATTTTGCGTATGAACATGTGGGAACCGGATGTTCAACATCGATTCCCACAGACATACAAAAGTCATTAAAGGCTGCTGAAGTGAATTCACCAGCATTATCAAGCCTGACTTTCTTTATGGCATAATCAGGGAAATGCGCTCTCAACCTGATTATTTGGGCAATGAATCTTGCGAAAGCCATATTTCTTGTGGTCAAAAGACACACATTTGACCATCTACTAGATGCGTCAATCAATACCATAAAGTATCGAAATGGCCCGCACGGTGGGTTAATAGGTCCACATATATCACCATGTATTCTCTCTAAGAATACAGGGGATTCATTCCCAACTTTGGCTGGCGAGGGCCTAATTATGATTTTTCCTTGAGAACATGCTTTACATGAAAACTCCCCCGATTGAAAAATCTTTTCATTTTTCAATGGGTGGCCACTCGTATTTTGCACAATTCTTCTCATCATGACTGAACCTGGGTGGCCAAGTCTTTCATGCCACACCCTAAAAGTGCTAGTAAACATCTGGTTTACTGCAACATAAGATTCAGTCATGTTGATTTTTGTGCAATATAAACCAGAGGACATCATTGGTAATTCTTCCAATGTTTGTTTCCTCTCCGTTGTAATGCAAAGATATTCAATGCCATTTTTGTTTATAGTCTCAATATGATATCCATTTTTGCGGATATCTCGGAAACTTAATAAGTTCCGGTGAGACTCGGGGAATATAGTGCATCTCGCACTTCAAATTTTGTTCCCCTTGGCAATGAAAAACTTGCTCCAGAGCCAAGTATTATCTTTGCACTACCGCATATAGTACTCACGCTTTCAGCGGAGTCTTTCATTTTGAGATAGGAGAAATACTTCTTATCTTTGAGTATTGTATGTGTCGTAGCACTGTCTGCTAGACAAGTATCTCCATCCTTAATCTCAAATTGTGGCACCATCTGGGCCACAAAATTCATAAAAGACATTTTATATTAAACATAGAAAATATATTTCATCAAAACATTTAAATTTTTTTTATCAAAAACTATATTAAACAATACTAGAAAAACGATTAAGAGTTTGTTATTATTGTCTTCTTTACGAAGACAATATCATCGATTTGAGTTTCTTTGGCTTTGTAGAATTTTCAAGATCAACAAGATAGTCAGCGATATCCAAATGAAAATCATCAATTAAGCCATTAAAGGAGGGACCAGGTTCATCAGAGATGAAGTTGGTCATTGCATCCTTATTTACTTTTGTTATCTTGGAACCGGAGGTTCAACCAATCGTACCTCGCTTTTGGTAAGATCATGTACTTTTGACTATCAAACCGACATTTAAGCGAGTAGTGGGGTGTAGTAACTCTCTTCTTGTGCGCTGCACAAGTCCTCAAGTGCCTCCTTTGATTTTTTAGACAGATTTCCCATCTTCTCTTTTGCCAAATTACGGATCACAGGTTCTAACCCTTTTAACTTCTTTATGAATCTATAAAGAGAAGAGGTCGATAAAAAGATTGGATTTGTAGTCTTCCAATAATTATCAACTGTTGGCTGAAACGCCTATAAATCTCCAACCACATTGACAAATTTAAACGGTTTCCTAGCTGTGACCCCCTCCGATGTTAGATGAAATCTGCATCTAAGGTACCTCCAGCTTCAAAAACACTATAAGATTCATGAAAAACTTGGTGGCAATGCTCATTCATGAGCACTCTATCCAGTTTTTTTGAAATGATTCCTTGTTCTCGTTTATTACTCCATGTGAACAGAGGTCCCTGAGAAACCAAATCAGATAAAGAACAATATTGCACCAAGTCTTGAAAATCCCTCATTCCCGTAGTTATGTTTGGATAGTTTTCAAAACTCGAATGCTCCTCTACATCGAGAATCTCATTAAAAACTCCAAATATTAGCCACGGCTTATTCCGGAACAGAGGTGAGTCGTAGTGATCCTGAATGTCACTCCACAATTCCTTACGCTCATCCATGAAGTTTGAGGCATATACGAATGAACAAAAGAATTCTTCTTCACAACCATCAATCTTGATAGACAAGTGATCATCTGACCGCTCTTGAAAAAAGGTGAGACTCGAACATTATTCTTCCACACAATCCATATACGTCCCAAACGGCTGAACTCATAATTTGTGATAACTGAAAAATCATCAAAAACGGAAGACATGATCGTACGTAGGGGCTCTATTCTCCTTGACCTTCATCTCCAACAGACAACCAAACTGAAAAGATTTACTTCGCACCCAGTTTCTTATTACAGAATGTTTTGATGTTTTATTAAGACCACGCACATCCAAAAGAAACGAAACAATATCAAGAGATACGAAACAAAAAGTATGAAAAAATGATTCAAAAAAAGGGAAACTTTTTTCCACAAAACGAAAAATAAAATAAAAGGCCCAAAGAAAATCCAAAAATATTTCAATATAAGAAGACCTTTTATCAAAAAAAAAATAATAATAAAAAATAAAATGTGTATTATTTGGAACTTTGTTTATGTATACAGAATCTATAAATACATTGCTCAAGGCAAAATGAAAAAGCAATATCCGTTTGGTTCTTTCTGTTATCACGATGGAGACAGAAACAAAAGAAGCAGAGTGAGTTTTTTACAGATCTAGGACAGCAACACGAACATACCATTTAGTTTTCATGATTTGGACTTTTGTTTTCTTGGAGTAGTGAATTCTCTTTCTTTCTGCCAAAGGAGTGGTAACACTTGTAATAAACGTGTCTTACCTCTCTTAACATTGGTCTGTACAAGATCTCAGTGTCTTAGCCGTCCTATTAACTGGGTATTTAACACAATATTTATAATACTTCGGCTCTGCCATGAGCCCATGAGGCATGAATTGGTTACTATCACGTTTATGTGATTGTGAACAAAATGATGTTTTTAGCATATCATGTTTTAACGTAATAAGAATACAACTTTTTTTACAAGGATCTTTAAACATATTTGTTGTATGATTGTATGATGTATCGTTACCCTGTATTTCTGTTTTTGTTTGTTCGATAATCAGTTACTTTATCTCGGGTTAAACAACAAAGAACGGTTTGACCAAAAAAGAAATCAACAACAAACACAGTAAGCAAGAAACCAAGTGTGGAAGAATTATACAAATTGATCAAGCAAAACAAAAGATTCGTCTACACAAAAATTTAAACACCAACGGAGGTTCGTCTAAAAATCTATTACATATGTTAGAGATTTTAGTCGTACTGTTTCGAACGGAGCACAAAAATATAGATTCGACGAAACGATTATAAGATTTCACAACGTAGATTCAAGTTTTTGGCCACTTTGTAGAAAGATATAATTTAATTGTTGAAAGAAACAGATTACGGACCTGATGGTTCTAGCAGAACAAATTAACAAAAATAACAGATGTTTAAACAAAATTAAAACTGCAATGATAAAATATTTAGGAAGCAAACACCAAGTCTCAACCAAGAATCCAAAAAAGAGAGAATTCAAACACAATTTTGTAAATTAAACCACATTGCATCTAAGAATCGGCAATGGTGACCTCGACCTCAACACCAGGCTCAATGGTGATGGAAGTGATCTGCTTCACCACCTCAGGAGAGCTAAAGAGATCGATCACACGCTTGTGTACACGCAACTCAAATCTGTCCCATGTGTTGGTTCCTACAACCACATAAAACAAACATCTTATAAACATATACGTTCTATCTTATTTTCAAAGCTAATAAACATATACTACAAGTTTTACTGCAAGTATAGTTGCAACCAAATAACAAGCTCTAAGCGAAGTCGAATCTAGGATTAAAATTCCGAAAAATGAGCAGTTACTTTAGATTACTGACCTTCACCACAAGGCGCTTTTCTTGTGGTAATTTTCAGAACTTTGGTTGGCATCCTTACTGGTCCTTTCACTCTCAATCTTTTGTCCTTGGCTCCACGGACCAAGTCAGTGCACACTAAACATCAAACAGACATACAAAAACCAACTTAGATTAAGAAATGACAAATAATTTCAATCTTATACTAGTTACTAAGACCAAGTACCTGTAAAGCTATACATATTGCAGATAAACTCTTTAAAAGATCTGATGGCTAAATATCTAGAAAATGAAACTAACCCTTCTCAAGGTTTTTGACGTTCTTAGAGGAGAGAGTGATTCTGATCTTGTGAATCTGCTCTTGTGGCTCCTCAAATCCAGTCTTTCCTTGCTTCATCGGTGGTGCATACGACATAGCTTTCTTCTAGTTTTTTTTTCAAGTTCCTTAAGCTAACAATAGTATATCCAAACAAAAGAAAACATCTTAGATATCAAATAGAAGAAAGGAAAAACCCTTTAAACCATTATATATAGGGAAAATGAATTTCAAAAGCCATTTCCAGATAAGTTTTATTCAATACGAGAATAACGAGATTAGATTGAATAAGAGCACAAATCCTTGAAGGGGAGGGAGTTTTACCAGGGAAGAAAGAAGACACGAGCCGCTGAGTTGATGAAGAAACTGGGCGACGAAGTTTGTGGCAGAGAGATGATATTAGGTTTATAACTAAGAGACATAAACTAGGGTTTTCTCGTTGGTAGTACTAATGGGCCTTTGAACCTTCTTTTACTTTGAGCCCAAACTAGAGAACACGACTTAGCCAACTAATACCTGTTTTCAATCGCTGAAACATTCTTTTAGCTGTTTGTGTAAATTGATTATCATAACAAAATTTTATATTATTGATGAAAATAACAAGAAAAAAGTTTGCGTTTGATGAATAAAATGAAAGATAAAATTTCTTATATGATATGCTTGATCTATATTACTTCACTATTTTATTTAACTAAAGGCTATCCCGCGCGTAGCGCGGAGCATATGTTAATTTAGATATAAGTTGCTACTAATTATTATCATTTCTTAATATTTGTTTGATGTTAATTTCAATCAGTAAATCAGTGACATATACCATATTCTGAGTAATTTCATAAGTTTTATAAAATAATTTTAAAATTATGATTTTGCCTAGACCCTTTAACAATTTTTTATATATATAAATATGATATTTTGTAGTGAAAGCACACACATGTATACAATTTACTATAATAATATATGTACCACGAAACTACTTCTTATGCCCAAATCTTTCTTTTCATCATGTACTCGGTTTTTCGCTGAGAAATTCTTTGAATTTAAGACTCTCAGGCTCCTTCATGTAAAGACGATGAGCATAATGAGAGACATTAAAAATTAGTTTTTTACGACTAATATCTTTTCTCCAATATCAATTGTGACTCTTTTTCTCTCTTGTTTATTTCTATTATTTGCTCATTAAGGAGTCTTTCGTGTTTTGTATTTTGTAAACAACAGAGAGAATTCATTTTTCTATTTCAAACTTATTTGCAGTAAGAAGTGTTAAAACTTTCTTATTTTGTCTATGAATCAAAGGGTCAATAATGATCGGTAACAAAAGAAAGAGATGTATGTTGCTATTTACAACTATAAAGATATGTCAATCGTTCTTTTCTTTTTTCTATACCAGTTTTCCATTATTCTTCTGTTGTGTTACACTGAGTTTTGCGGTGAAAATAAACCAAAAACAACATCACCTTCTTCTAATCCGAATCCTCTTTATCACATCTTCACTATCATCATCCTTCTCCTCTGCAATCCCATCTTCATTATTTACAGGCTTGCTTTCGGACTCTTCTGAGCTCGAACTCTCTATTTCTGATACCAAGCTCTCTTCTTTCTTATGTACAATTCCATGCTCAGTTATGTTCCATGACCCTCTTATCCTTGGCTCTCTTCTTTGCTACGTACAACGCCATGCTCAGTCTCTGTTCCATGACCCTCCAGAGGAGCCATTTGGTCACCTTGTGAACTGCCACTTGGACTCGGAAAGGATCTGTGGCATGATATATTAAGCGTCAAGAAACTGTGACAAAGATAAAGACAAAAGAAACAAAAAAACAAAGTGTATGGTGTCCTATCATTGCTCCTGTTAAGTCAAAAATCCAAGAGAACAACAATAAGAAGATACAATATGGCTAGAAAAAAACAATCAAAAGCCAATTGAATTATCAAAGAAAAAAAGATTACCCATAGAATGTCCAATTATGTGAGCTCTCTCCCATTCCAAATGATCCAACAAACTAACCGAATCCTTTGCCATTATCGTTGTTCTACACCAAAAACAAAAAGAAAGCAAACTGAGTGAAGCTAACAAAACCAATTTCACAGGTAGGCAAATTCGTGAACAAAATCGGAGGCGATAGAGAGAGTCAAGAGTCAAGACTCACGTGTACTCAGATTTGTGGGTAGGCACGGAGCTTCGACCCATACCACGATTGTCGAAAGCGCATACCTCTACGCCTTCTCCGGTTCCTGAATCATCGGAAACGATTCCATCATCGTTGGGTTAATCCGTTCTCGTCAATCCTTTGATTTGTGGTCCTCATGATTCATGAATTCTGGCAAAACCTGAAACAGAAAAGAAGAAAATTGAGGAAACAATCGAAATCCCAATTAAAAAAGATATGTCGAGACTCCAGAGAGAGAGACCTACGATGTGGAGATCTTTGGTAGGACCATGACCGTACATTCTGTAGAAGATCTTGACACCGGCATTGTTAACCGTCGTTTCTGCGTCGACGTGGAGAACGGAAGTTGTGGCTGCGAATCGGGAAAAAAGGAATGGGAGGGGGGTCGCCGCGAACCTATTTATAATGTAGGGGGCATTAAAGACGGGTCATTACTGGGCGGATGAAGCAAGGAGCTGCAACGGTTGGGGTTTTGAAGCTGGATCGTCAACTTCACCGCTTGGAGGAAGAAGGAAGGGCGTGAGAGGTCTGGGTTTTTTTCAAAGAATTTAATAGTGATGGGCCGAGAGTGTAATTTTAAAGTGCCACGTGGCATTCTCTAGGTGAAACTGTGAGGTGCCTTGAGAGGCCTCAAATAGCTGCTATCATTTAGTAAAGATTTAATTTATTTTTAATGATTAAATTAGTATAACTTTGAGGATAACCACACTCAAAATTTATGTGTATTTTGTAGGAAGAAATTGCCTGTGGAATCAAATGTTAGATTCTGATGTAAATCAAACAAGTACAAACAAAGATTTGACGAAATCGGACTTAGGTTAATCAAATAAAGCGGTTACAAAATCGGCTTAAAAGACCATGTAAAACACTGAGATTCGACTAAGCAAAAAAGATGGAAATAAGATGGTGGCTGCGCTCATTAACAAGCTGCCTACGTACCCTGTTTTAGGGATCAAGCCTTGACGTAGTTCGATTATAAGTTGTTCTCTATTTCTGATCATTTTCTGAAAAGAAATGACCACGAAAAGAGTTAAAGGGGTGTGAAGATGACGATAAATCTAGGTTATATGAGTGATCCGAAGGTAAAAGATTATGTCAAACTTCTACCGGAAGTGATTTCTGGCTGGACATATTAGAGCTTTCTAGGGTTATCTCGAAGATCAAAGATAAGATCGTAGAGAAAAGATATCAGAATATCTCAAGACGAAGAAGAAGAACTTCACTATGTTTCTGCTGTGAAAAGATGATGAGAAGAACTTCAGTTGTCTCGCCAAAATGGAAGATGAAAGAACCTTTGTTCTGAGAAGTGAGAAGGATAAAACTTGTGACTTCCAGAAAAGACTTGCACTTAAGACTAGAATCATCCTCCTTTTATAGCTCCCGTAGTAGATCGCAACCTTCTCCGCATATCTCGTCCATGTACAGTTGCCGATCCCGCTATTTCCGGATCCGAACGGTCGAAACGAGATTCTTGTTTGACTCGTTCAGCTTGGCTTGCGGACTTGACTCCATTGAGTTAGAGCTCGACTTTGTCTTCACAAGTAGCTCGGACAGTAAACAGCTGGATATGGACAAGGATATTTGGTGGGCTCGAGGTCATTCTACTAGGCCTGGGTGGACTTATCTTGGCCTTAAGGTTGAGGTGATGGGCCTTATGGGCTGGATTTTTAGAGGGAAATCCAGGTCCAACAATAGCACCCCGACTCATTAAGTGAGTATAATCAAGCTTAATGAGCGGTAGGTTGTTTTAAAATTGTCCTGCAGTTCCGTCGAACTACATTATAACTTTACATAGTCATTGGAAATCGACGGTTTGCAGACAGGAAGGCGAAAGATCATAAGATCTTGCCGTTGTACTTCGTTAATCGAGATATGCCTTGGTAATGCAAGACAATAATTATTTGTTTAGAAATAAACATTCTCGATAAGAAGTAATTCAAAGAGTTTAATTTTTTTAGGAACCGAGCTCCTCGGAAGCAGATACAACACTTAAAGTCTTTAAGATGATCTTACTTTCCATCTGACGGTACAGATGCGGGGAGACGGAGGGTTTGTACAGCTTAGAGTATTCAGCCTTACTTAAATTTCATCACTTCTTACAAAGCGTCCGGATAGTTGATGCGGGATCGATGCGAGGTAAACCCTCACGACCTCGAGATACTCAGCAATTAGTGAATATAAATCCATCTCCAGAAGTTTTTTTGAAACGTACCCGATATTGAGTCGGAGGCGATTTCTTCCTTTTCCTCTTTCGTAATCTTTCATACGAGGATAGTTTTTTTTAAAAAAGAGAGTGGCATAATCTCTAGGTTTATAGGGGTACAACATCCCTGACGAGATCGAACTCGTGGTCTCGACAGAGTCAGAAGATCTTGAGCATGTTAGGCCGGGATATTGCTGTGCTTTTAAAGCTTACTTTGAGAGCTGCAGGATGATCTTTCCCGTCCCTCGACTTTTATTGGAGGTTTTAGCTCACCTAAGGATGGCTTTTCCTCAGATGCATCCGAATTTCGTTCGACACGTTATCACATGTGCAGTTCGAGCTCGAGAGAAGAATATAATTCTCGACGCTAGAGATGTGAAGAAGTTATTCTCGGTTAAGCACAATACCAGATTCCAGGGGTCGTTTTATACCTCGCCGAGGACGAACCGTCATGTTCTGACGAACACTCCGATCACGATTCTAGTTGGAGCAACGAGTCATTCTTTTTCAAATTCAATTGAGCTTCCGTTGGGGAGTTCAATTTCGACAAACATCCAAAAGAATGGGCCACTAGGGTTGGTTAGCTTTCCGACCACTTTCGTGCTTTTAGTTCTTGAATCGGATTCGGTTACCAAGTTTTGCGGACTGATAACCTTTGGTTTATTGCAGTTTGCGAGTCAGTGCCGAATAACTCGTCGATCGAATATCTGGTGGCTAGACTCGGGAGAGAGAAGACAAATTGGAATATGTTCACGTCGGAACGGATTCGTCAAGTCCTCTCGTCTGATCGTTCCACCTCGTAAGCGTATCGTTTACTCGATTCGAGGTGTTTTTGATCTTGTACTTTGTTTTAGTAACAAGGTTTTGCATGATATAGTTTATCGGCGGATTCCGTCAAAACCAAATTTGAGCTCGTCCTCGATTTATCGATCTCTTCAGAGAAAGGAAATGTCTCGTAGGCTAACGTTTCGTGAACGAGCTGCGAAGTTGATCGCTTCTCAGGGGATAATGGAGATGTGGGGGTTCCCCAGATCGCGGTCGGATCTTCTTTTCGCGATGGAATAACAGAACGATCTCCTCATGTTGCTACAGAGGGTAATACCCATGTGACTCCTCCGAGACGAAATATCTTGGTGAGCTCGAGTAGCGAGCAATCGGAAAGGAGCTCCAAGAGAGCAAGAGATGGTAATCGGACTCCGATCCAAACAAACGATCGGAGCTCCTTGAACAAACGATCCGAACCGGAGGTCAGCTCGTCGTCCCGATTGGCATTTGATCGTTTGAAGAGCGTTCCAGATTTTGATAATTTTGAAACGTCCATGTCGCGCCAATGCAAGCCTACCGTGAGTCAAAATCCTCTTTGAGATTTTACGTTCGAGAGGGAGCTGTTTGCGGCGGCGACGGCGGCGAACAAGGAGGTATTACCTTCTCCAAATATTTGCCGAAGAAGCAATATTCTTGGGTTTAACGCTTAAGATTTCTCTTTATCAGGCTCTCGAGGCGCACAAGACGAGTCTTGTTTCCTCGTCTAACTGGGGAAAGACAAGTCTTGGAGGCCGAGAAGGTTCAAGCCGTTCGTCGAGCTGAACGCGAAGGTCGTCAAGAAATATCCCTAAAATATCACGCGATCCTCCTAGAAATCAAAGCTAAGTGGAAGAAGTAGGAAGATGAGAGCGTCAAGGAGTTTGATCTCCAAGAGGTGCTTGCTAACATCGAGCTCCTTCAATCTCCGATGGATGGGACGGTTGTTGCGAAAGATGAGCTCCAGAAGTTGAGGGAAGACGAGGGTATTTTTACCGAAGCCTTTGAGGCAGTCCAAGTTTCCGACTTCTCGATCTTCCGGCAGTATCGGAAGATTCCGTTATTCGTATGGATGTTGGTCCTTCTTCGAATGCTCCCTGTGATCCGAACGTGCTCGGTACTGAGGAGACGATGAGCAATGACGAGGAGGCGGAAACGGAGGATTGAATTTCCCTCCTTTTCTCTTCTCTTTTATCGCTTTTTATTTAAATTTTGAACAAGTTAGCTCGGCGGGGTTTTTACGCTTTCCTTTTGGATTTGGTGTTTGGGAAGGCTTTTATCCTTTTATGTTCGAACTTTTTTGCTCGGGATGAGCTTGATATTTGATAATTTTTCTTAGACGTTTGATGTCTTAGAGTTTATCTTTGTTTTCGAGATCAATTGACTGTTAGCTTGATTGTTCGATCATTAGTCGTTTTGGTTTGATTGGAGATTTGACCTAGCGTGTTAGCTAACTGGTCGGACCGGATGAAGCTCAGTTGATCTCTTCTGAGAATCATATAAAGTTGAGCTAGTTTCTTTTCGAATTCCAGCTCGAGCTTTTAACGTGTTGTTGGGCTTCAACTTGGAAGGTTGTGTCGGTTGAAAACGACTGATTTTAGATGATCGTCTGAATTCAGTAGGTGATTCTACACAATCAGCACTCGAGCTTCATCTTTAAAGATTACTTTAAGTCGAGCTGATTTCTTTTTAGACTTTTAGTCAGATTCGACTCGTGTTTGCCACTTGCATGATTTTGTAGGTTAATCTACATGATCAGTAGTTGGGCTGAAGTTTTGAAGAAGTACACAGGGTTGAGCTGATTTCCTTTAAGGTCTTCGGTCGGATTCGACTGATGCCAGTTGTGTGATTTCGTAGATTGATCTACATGATCAGCACTTGGGCTTTATTGTTAAGGTTTGCTCGTTGGCGAGCTAATCTCCTATTGGTCTTTGCCAATTGTGTGAATTAGTAGATTGATCTACATGATCAGCACTTGGTCTTAATCTTCGAGGACTGCTCGGAATCGAGCTGATCACCTTTCAGATGTTCAGTCGGGTTCGACTGGCTTTTGCTAATTGTGTGATTTAGTAGATTGATCTACATGGTCAGCAGTTGGACTTAGTTTTCAAGGGCTGCTCGGAATCGAGCTAATTGCCTTTCCATTTTTAAGTTGGGTTCGACTGGATTTTTTGCTAAGTATTCGATGTCTTTAGGAGTAATTCGAATGTTTAGCTGGTTTGGGTTGTTGGGCCCAAAGTTTATTGTTTTCCCGGTTGTTGATACGAGGTGTTCCTAATTCGGCTTTGTGGGAGAGATGGTTTACCATGCAGAGTGACGTTGATTTTATCGCAACAGATAGTGTTCCGAGCGTGTCTGGATGGGACCGTCGAAGCGGCTTGATTACGTATCATAATGCAAACCGCCTGAGTCTCTCGGCTCACGTTCGGGTCGAGTGCGATCGGACATGCCGTTACAGTAGCTTGATGTCGTGTTAGACTACAGGCTGCCTTGAGGAGTTCGGCTCGCACTCGACTGTAACATAGGTGCCAGATGCTTGGATGCTGTTGACTCTGATGGATTTTTATGAAATAAGGAAGCGATTTTCTGTTCCGTGGCTGGACCAAGTTATTTCTATATATCTATTTACGCTTAAGAGTTTAATGAGGCGCTTACGGATTCGCAAGGTGAGTTTGAGCAATTTCGTAAAAAGAAAAATAGAAAAGTATTGAAATTGAGATGATACGAATCAGACCTGTTGAAGGTCTGGCCAATGAAGTCGTCTCGAATATTAGGAATGAATTTGATTGGGGCTCGATTCATGAACGAGCTGCCTATGTACCTCCAGGGAAGGAAGATCAAGCCTGGACGTAGTTTGTGGGGGTAGAGATACTTCGGATGATATCGTTTTAACGATGTACCATTTCAGGTACATTGCGTTCAAATGACAGGTGTTAGCGATCTTAAATGAGAAGGGAGTTTGTTGCGTCTCCCTAATTACTTTGTCGATATCCGGAATCGAACTCATTGCTTGGTTAAACGATGAGTTCGCTTGCCGGAATGCGAAGTTTGTTTGGTCATGTAATCTTTCGAAAAATTCATAGTCAACGAGGTTACGCGGATCGACAAGAATCCGATTAGTTGAAATCGGACGTGATAGAGCTCGATTTAACGAGCAGTTTGCTTTTGTCAATTGAGCTGGATCGGCTGGATTGTTTGCTCTATGAATTTGAGCTCGATCGACTAGATCATTTGTTGCGGGAAACTGTTGATAGTTTCTGTTAAGTTGAGTTTGAGCTGTTGCAGGGGTTTGCGAGCTCAAGTTGTGAGCCATGGTTTCGGGCCATCTAAATATAGTTGGCTCGACACCTGGCAGCAATGGAGGTGGAGATGGAAGTCGCANAAGGAGGTATTACCTTCTCCAAATATTTGCCGAAGAAGCAATATTCTTGGGTTTAACGCTTAAGATTTCTCTTTATCAGGCTCTCGAGGCGCACAAGACGAGTCTTGTTTCCTCGTCTAACTGGGGAAAGACAAGTCTTGGAGGCCGAGAAGGTTCAAGCCGTTCGTCGAGCTGAACGCGAAGGTCGTCAAGAAATATCCCTAAAATATCACGCGATCCTCCTAGAAATCAAAGCTAAGTGGAAGAAGTAGGAAGATGAGAGCGTCAAGGAGTTTGATCTCCAAGAGGTGCTTGCTAACATCGAGCTCCTTCAATCTCCGATGGATGGGACGGTTGTTGCGAAAGATGAGCTCCAGAAGTTGAGGGAAGACGAGGGTATTTTTACCGAAGCCTTTGAGGCAGTCCAAGTTTCCGACTTCTCGATCTTCCGGCAGTATCGGAAGATTCCGTTATTCGTATGGATGTTGGTCCTTCTTCGAATGCTCCCTGTGATCCGAACGTGCTCGGTACTGAGGAGACGATGAGCAATGACGAGGAGGCGGAAACGGAGGATTGAATTTCCCTCCTTTTCTCTTCTCTTTTATCGCTTTTTATTTAAATTTTGAACAAGTTAGCTCGGCGGGGTTTTTACGCTTTCCTTTTGGATTTGGTGTTTGGGAAGGCTTTTATCCTTTTATGTTCGAACTTTTTTGCTCGGGATGAGCTTGATATTTGATAATTTTTCTTAGACGTTTGATGTCTTAGAGTTTATCTTTGTTTTCGAGATCAATTGACTGTTAGCTTGATTGTTCGATCATTAGTCGTTTTGGTTTGATTGGAGATTTGACCTAGCGTGTTAGCTAACTGGTCGGACCGGATGAAGCTCAGTTGATCTCTTCTGAGAATCATATAAAGTTGAGCTAGTTTCTTTTCGAATTCCAGCTCGAGCTTTTAACGTGTTGTTGGGCTTCAACTTGGAAGGTTGTGTCGGTTGAAAACGACTGATTTTAGATGATCGTCTGAATTCAGTAGGTGATTCTACACAATCAGCACTCGAGCTTCATCTTTAAAGATTACTTTAAGTCGAGCTGATTTCTTTTTAGACTTTTAGTCAGATTCGACTCGTGTTTGCCACTTGCATGATTTTGTAGGTTAATCTACATGATCAGTAGTTGGGCTGAAGTTTTGAAGAAGTACACAGGGTTGAGCTGATTTCCTTTAAGGTCTTCGGTCGGATTCGACTGATGCCAGTTGTGTGATTTCGTAGATTGATCTACATGATCAGCACTTGGGCTTTATTGTTAAGGTTTGCTCGTTGGCGAGCTAATCTCCTATTGGTCTTTGCCAATTGTGTGAATTAGTAGATTGATCTACATGATCAGCACTTGGTCTTAATCTTCGAGGACTGCTCGGAATCGAGCTGATCACCTTTCAGATGTTCAGTCGGGTTCGACTGGCTTTTGCTAATTGTGTGATTTAGTAGATTGATCTACATGGTCAGCAGTTGGACTTAGTTTTCAAGGGCTGCTCGGAATCGAGCTAATTGCCTTTCCATTTTTAAGTTGGGTTCGACTGGATTTTTTGCTAAGTATTCGATGTCTTTAGGAGTAATTCGAATGTTTAGCTGGTTTGGGTTGTTGGGCCCAAAGTTTATTGTTTTCCCGGTTGTTGATACGAGGTGTTCCTAATTCGGCTTTGTGGGAGAGATGGTTTACCATGCAGAGTGACGTTGATTTTATCGCAACAGATAGTGTTCCGAGCGTGTCTGGATGGGACCGTCGAAGCGGCTTGATTACGTATCATAATGCAAACCGCCTGAGTCTCTCGGCTCACGTTCGGGTCGAGTGCGATCGGACATGCCGTTACAGTAGCTTGATGTCGTGTTAGACTACAGGCTGCCTTGAGGAGTTCGGCTCGCACTCGACTGTAACATAGGTGCCAGATGCTTGGATGCTGTTGACTCTGATGGATTTTTATGAAATAAGGAAGCGATTTTCTGTTCCGTGGCTGGACCAAGTTATTTCTATATATCTATTTACGCTTAAGAGTTTAATGAGGCGCTTACGGATTCGCAAGGTGAGTTTGAGCAATTTCGTAAAAAGAAAAATAGAAAAGTATTGAAATTGAGATGATACGAATCAGACCTGTTGAAGGTCTGGCCAATGAAGTCGTCTCGAATATTAGGAATGAATTTGATTGGGGCTCGATTCATGAACGAGCTGCCTATGTACCTCCAGGGAAGGAAGATCAAGCCTGGACGTAGTTTGTGGGGGTAGAGATACTTCGGATGATATCGTTTTAACGATGTACCATTTCAGGTACATTGCGTTCAAATGACAGGTGTTAGCGATCTTAAATGAGAAGGGAGTTTGTTGCGTCTCCCTAATTACTTTGTCGATATCCGGAATCGAACTCATTGCTTGGTTAAACGATGAGTTCGCTTGCCGGAATGCGAAGTTTGTTTGGTCATGTAATCTTTCGAAAAATTCATAGTCAACGAGGTTACGCGGATCGACAAGAATCCGATTAGTTGAAATCGGACGTGATAGAGCTCGATTTAACGAGCAGTTTGCTTTTGTCAATTGAGCTGGATCGGCTGGATTGTTTGCTCTATGAATTTGAGCTCGATCGACTAGATCATTTGTTGCGGGAAACTGTTGATAGTTTCTGTTAAGTTGAGTTTGAGCTGTTGCAGGGGTTTGCGAGCTCAAGTTGTGAGCCATGGTTTCGGGCCATCTAAATATAGTTGGCTCGACACCTGGCAGCAATGGAGGTGGAGATGGAAGTCGCTCTGTGTGCTGAGATTCTATCTCTGCTTTTCTTGAATTTGGAATGTTCAAGCTGCTCATTGGCGAGCTCATCGATGAAACGACACGAGCGCGTAGTGGCGATTTGTATCGTTTCGACGAACTGTTTATTGAGCTCATCGGTGGGACAAGAGTCTGGAAGACATGAGCGCGCGGATGCGCCTCATCCCATTTCGACAAGCTGTTTAGCGAGCTCATCAGTGGGGTGAGAGTCTGGAAGACACGAGTGCGCAGTGGCGCCTCATCCTTTTTCTACGAGCTGTTAGGTTCGTGAATTGGTGAAGAGTCGAGCTGAGTTCCCTGATGTGAGTCAGGTTTTACCAAACTCTTTAGACCTCTGCAAGTGCACAGATCGCGGAAGTATGGGTATCGAACACAAGGACTGGCTATTGAGTACACTTTGAAACTATGGATTTTGGATCAAGCTAAAACAAAAGTATGAATTGGAGGTTGTAATTGTAACTAAAACTAGCAAGTAAACAAGTTGTAAATCAGATGGGAAGAAGCGCTAGGTCAACAAGGGGCTAATCGCAGAGAAGCAAGCAATGATCAATGAAACAATGATAGATAAATTGATGTAGGGATATTGGGATATTAAGCCGTCTAGAACACAGATCACGAATATAAAACCATTCCACTTTCGAGGCTCCGGTTCTTTTGTTAATCTACCTAGTCGCTAAACTTTTGGTATGTCTCTAGGTGATTAAATCAAGCATTAGATCGAGCGGGTTCCGATACAGTTCACTAGGTTATAGTAAATCAACTTTCGCAGTCTAAGAAACCTAGCTTGTCAAAGAATATGTCCGGCGAATGATACAACACTTTCGAGGCTCAAGTCAACCTAAGATCGGATTACTAGATGCGCGGTAAAGCAATCAGCATTAGTTAAGTGAACAAGACGAGACAAAGACTCTAAGATAATCCCTAGCTAAACATCGAAATCAAAGATCATGCAAGCAACTCATTGATTAGTAACCCTAGCAACCTAACTAGTGGATTACTCAGACATGATCAAAGCAATAACACATAGAGATGAAGAAACATCATAGATAGAGAAAGGTTTAGAAAACTTCTTCAAATTGAAGTAAGGAGGAGAGATCTTCTCCTTGAAATCTAGAACAAACTCTAAGTGTAAATCGTGATACAATATGCGGCTCTCTTTCTAAGAGGCTAAAAAGTTGTATTTATAGTACTAGGTCTTCAGAGGCGGCATTAGGTTAAGTCGGGCCGTGAAAACGTGTGCTTCAAAACGGCTTCGGGTCGACCGGACCGTTCGGGCTATCGGGTCGTGGTCGGCTATCGGCACGGTTGGGTCGATCGTGGCCGAGAGATTCTTCGTTCGGCCGTCGGGTCCGGGCGGATGGTTTGGCCGAAGGTTTTGGCCGGACGTGGGGACGTGCCTTCCTGGTCGGACGGTGATCGGCCGTGGGATGTGAGTTGTGCGCACGGCCGCGAGGCGATGCTTCCCGGTTCGCGCGCGCGGTCGTGCGCGGCTTATGGTGGCGAGGCTTGAACGGCTCGACCGCGGGACGATGCTTCCCGGGTCGGTACATGAGCTCGGCCGTGCATTTGGCGGGATGGAACGCGGATGTTCTGCGGCGGGACGATAGTTCCTCGATCGGCCGGTGTGCGGTTTGGGATGCGAATGCTCGATAAGCCGTCTGGACCAGTCTTCACTAACTTGATCATAACTTCATTTCTACTCATCCAAATGATGCCAACCACTTGCGTTGGAAAGTTAACTCACTCAGAGCACGCGGGAACTGGTCTTGATGAAATCCATTGAGTAGATTTTTTCTAGGCCTCTCAAAGTTGATGCTTCGGTATGGACAACTTGAAGTGCAAATCCTATGGTTTTGCTCCAAAATGCATCATTTCACCTGTTTAGACTCTAGTACTATAAATCCAATAAAACTACCTTTTTAGATAGAAAACCTGCCAAAAACCATTAGAAAACATACTAAAATAGTATAAAAAGCATGTAAAATAGAGGTATATCAACTCCCCCAGACTTAGATCTTTGCTTGTCCCCAAGCAAACAAGAATCTAAATCCGTGAAAGAGGTTTGAAAACGTGGAAACTCCCTTGCTCTTTGAATATCCTGTGAAGGGTTCCTTTCCTGTATTCCACTAAGAACATAGGCAACATAAGGTTAGCTTCACATACACCCTGCAAGTTTAGCGAACAATACCAACAACTAGTCTCATCCAGCAATCCAAACTCTCTATTGCTAACCTCTTGCATAAAATTTAAAGCGTGAGTTCTTTATCAAGGGAATATCGATCATTAAGACTTGTTCTTACCCACTTGATCTCTCCAAGATTGTCTTTGAAGTGCAATGAGTTCTTTTCCTCTCTCTTTCTCACATCAGAACTTTGAAAGGTCGATTTCTCCCTACTTTTCTAGGGTATCATTTTATTTTTTCTATCGACCCCTCTATCAACACAGGATAAGTCTTTAGCTTGTTCCTTGTTTGAATAAGGTATTCCATAAGACATGAAGGTACAGACATATGCATTCCTCATGCTTACTTGTTGTCCTTGTGCTCTTGAGTTTTCCATTTTACCAGGGATGGGAGAGAGAGGAGAACTCTTTAAGGTTAGACAAATCTTATTGAAAATCAAGCAAGGAACTGTCGACATGTATGCCAATCCCCTTGACAAGAGTTATTAAGATTGATTAAGGTGAGGTTAACTCTAGATTGCTTGGTTACCTTAGAAATTTTGCTGAGCTAGCATGTCGATCCACTGTAAGAGCTTCTGTTAGGCTTGTGCCTTTAGCTGGTTCTGCTCTAGGGTCATGGATTGTTAGCACAACACTATCAAATCTCAAAGCAAGTTCATAATTTCCGGACTGGTTTTGACTCAATAAAACAAGAAAACATCAAATAAAACATAAGAAAAGAAAGAAAAATGCATTAGTACACAATAAAACTCCCCCCAGACTTAACTTGCACCGTCCCGGTGAAAGCAAATCACATTAAGGTGAGAGGTAATATTCAAAGTAAAAGAAAATAAAAAGGAAATTCATTAAAATGAGATAGGGATAGAAAATGGAGATTTGTAAGTGTCCATTGCACTAAGTACCACTTGAGATGACTATGTGTGGCGGTGAGAAGAACTCTCTTCCTCATCTATGGGGTCATCGCCTTCTGAACCAAGCTCTGAGTCTAGTGAGAACTCACCAAGGTCAGGCTCATATGGTTCTCTAGCGGTGAGAGAAGGGCGAAAGAGTCTCTCCGGTGCAATGTGGCGGACTACACGAACTAAGCGTGAGATGAAACGTGATTGGCACTCCACAATCTTCTCCAGCTTGCTCACACGGTCTAGGGCTTGGTTCGCTGCCATTCCAGTGCTGAGAACATGGCGTTCTTGGTGGCGGCGTTGAGCTTTGACTGTGCGCTGAAGTGTGCGGTATGTGAGGATGGGGAAGTGATGGTTTCTCTCTTGATGGGATGTAGAAGTCTTCCTCCTTGGGTTGGAAAGTGACAACACCTGAGCGTAGGCTTGGGATGTCCTCATGTGGCAGCAAGACAAGCGAGTGTTGGTTGGTCCAATTGGGAACTCATAGCAAAACTTGGTTGGGTTTTGAGTCCAACGGTTTAGGAAGTGAATTTGCTGAAGGGCATGGAGATCCAATGGGGTTGGTTGGGTAGTGGCTCATAGTTGGGAATGTGATTCCCACATGTTGCACTATGGCTGTGATGAGTCTCCCTAAATCGCACACAAAGCTTCTTGTTGCTTTCCAAGTCTTTAGCTAGATGCTTCACATTGATGAGTGTCTTTGCAACAAAAGACCAAGGTTGGCCTTTGTTCATGCTTGATGAATGGCGTGGTGAGGATGTAGAACTCATCAGTTGTGACTTTGTTGGCTTCTTGGTTGCATTGAAAAGTGCTTGAGATGAGGCGATGCATATAGAGAATTGCTGGATGAGTGATTCTAGACACCTTTGATTTTGAGGGCAAGAATGGTTCATTGGCAAAGTGTGTCCAATCAGCAAAGACAGCTTGCTTCCTTGTTGAGTTCTCCTTGAAGTCATGGGCTGTCTCATTGGGAAATCCAAAGAGTTGGCATAGAGCCGAGATTGAGATGCGCCCATTGGTGTCGCCTATTTTGAAGAGTAAGAGTCCATCACCAACTGGTTGGCCTCCATTGTTGTTGGGAAAGGCTAGAGCGATTGTGGAGAGGAACTCCTTAGTAAGCAATGAGTATTCGCTGCACTCTATCTTGAAGAGCTTTCTCAAGCCAAGCTTCCTTAGATACCATGTAACATCATCTTTTATCTTGAGAAGATCAAGGGTGGAGTGTCCATCTTCACACAAGGTTCGATGTTCACTCTCTCCATTGCCTTCTTGTACTTTTTTGGGTCTTGGACTTGTTCTCCACCAAAGTTTACAAGTGGCCAATCATCTTCTCCTCTTAGAACTTCCACATAATCTTGACTTGCATCAATGGAATGTGGTGATGGTGGTGTTGCTGCTCCCTAGCTGTTTCCTTGGTGGTTGCATGAATGGATCTTTCTTCTTCATAGTCTCACTTCCTTTTGTCCTTGCCATTGGGTACCTTCAAGAGCAAATTCTTGGGAAAAGACATGAGTTTGTGGTTAAGTGCATAAGAAATATAAGCTAATTGAGTTGCAATAAAGATTTGAATGAATGAATCAACTCAAGGCTTAATCAATATCAAAGAAACAAAATGGAAATTTTACTTTTCAAAATTATTTTCGGATTTTACTATTCATCTCAAGATTATAGTGCATAAAATCGAAATTTTTAGCAAATCAAGAGAAATTGAGTTTCTAATCCATGTAATCAATAGATAAACTAATGAATTGAAGTATGACCAAGCAATTTCACTTTTGAATAAAGGGTTTGGAATACCCAATAAGTTTTGTGAAAAACTATTCAGTTGTGAAATTAACTCTAAATATCTCTAAACCACATAGGTTCCACCTAGCTAAGTTCATTACAAGACTAATAAGAATGGCAATTTCAAGTTTAGACAAGAGTTTAGACCAAACAAGAAACTTATTGAATTTCGATCTTGCATAAACATGGGATTAGAGTTAAAAGACATACCTTGTGTATTGAAAAGTGAATGAGGAAGAAAAGAGCAAGCAAATCCAAGTTTCAAAGTTATGAACAGTAAAAGTTTTGTAAACAAATTTTAGAGCTCCTCTAATGGAGTTTAGGGTTTTAGAGAAGAAGAGAGGTTCTTGTTCTTTTCAAGGGAAAGGTAAAGTTATAAAGTTCCAATTCCAATTAATATTTCCTTTTCAAATTCGAATTTAGCTTGAAAATCGGTTTAAATCGGTTTAGGATTGGTTAAAACCGGTTTGAATTTAATGAAAAAGGGACTTACCTTGGCCGAGAGAATTTGGGCCGATGGCCGATGATTTGTCGCGGTCGTGCGGTTTGGTCGGCCAAACTGCGAATGGACGAGAAATCGGCCGAGGCCGATCGTTTGCTTCCCGGATCGACCGACGGCGGTCGGTCCGTTCTCATTCCGGCCGAACGCGGCCTGTTCCTTCCTGTCCGTGCGTGCTGCACGGACGGTTTTGTCGCGCAGATCGTGTCCGGCCGAGCGAGAGCCGTTCCTTCCCGGATCGACCGGTACGGTCGGCCCGAATGGAATTGCTCGGCCAAATTCACTTTTGCGCGTCCGCGGCCAATGTTTTGGCGCGGATTGTGTTTTCACACCTTTTTCTCCTTCTATCCTATCTTAAAACAAAGAAAACACAAAAGCAAAACAAAAACTAAGAAAATTAAAGAAAGAAAAGTAAAAGTACCTCATGGGTTGCCTCCCATGCAGCGCTTGTTTTAAGTCTTTAGCTTGACTGTAAGGCTTGGCGCTCAGGAGAAGATGGAGACAAGAGGCATCCTTGATCCTCCAAGTCTTTTCTCCTTGCAATGAGTATCTGGTGGGTGATTCACAGCTGGATAGACAATCTCTCCATGAATGTCCCTTGGCACTACTGCCTTAGGAAAAAGCTTTAGAGTTCTTGTCACTCTCTCCTTGAATCCTTCTAGATTCTCATCAATAAGCTCCTTGGGAATAGAAGCTTCATGTTGCGGCCAGACCTAGGTTTTCTAACCTTCCTTCTTGGCTTGGCCTCATCTTCAATCTTGGTTGATCCCTTGGGCGGTTTTGGTGTAGGGGCCTTAGTCTTACTCCTTGCTTGTTTGGCAAGCTGCTTGGGCTTAGGAATGGGATCTTCCTTGATTGTTTCTTCAGTTTCTCCTTCTTGGGGTGGCTTCAAAGTAGCTTTCTCCTCTTGGACCATGTCAACAAAAGAGTTCTTTGTTGAACACATAGGGAAGAACATACCCTTGTTCACCTTGTTGAAAGAGATTCTTTGATTGGGGAAATCAAATATGGCACCCACAGTAGACAGGAAAGGGGTTCCAAATATGAGAGGTCTATGCTACTCTCTCTCATTTCCACAATCTGGAAATCAGTAGGGATAGAGCAATTTCCAATCTGCACCATCACATTAGGCACAAAGCCATAGGGTGTTTGTGAGAATGAATCAGCATAGTTGATGGAGATGGATGATGGCTCTATCTTGGTGAGGCCTATCTTGTCAGCTATCCTCTTAGACATGATGTTCACATTGGCTCCTGTGTCACACAAAGATTGCTCAAGAATGTTACCTTTGATGATACAAGGCACAGCAAACTTTCCTGAGTTATCTGTCTTGGGGATAATCTTTGGGAAGAGTCTTCTCTTTCTAGCTCGATTGGACTCTCTCTCTGGGTAATTCTCTTCAGGCCAAATCATGCAATCAACAGTAGGTTTTGAAAGCATCCATTCTGGAACTTGGTCTTCAAATCTTTCTTCTATGGCGGCTGAGTTGCAAAAGGACTTCTTGGATTCAGCTTCCTGTCTCTTAACAGCTTCCATAGTTTGAGTGACTTGAGTCTCTAGTTTCTTCACATGAGTGGCAACAGCATCATACTTGGTGTTGAGATTGCTGAACAAAGTGTCCATCTTCTCATACATCTCTTTAGTGTTTCTCTTCTGGCCATCCATGATCTGTTGGAGGATTCCTTCAAATCTCCCACCTTGTTGGTTTGGAGGAGCTTGATTTGGTGAAGAAGCATATGGCTCCTTGGGCGGATATGATGATCTCTGCTCATATCCTTGCCTTGGCTGAAATTGACTTCCTTGAGATTGGTAAGGAGGTCTTTGTTGTTGTGGATACCTTGGAGGATACACTTGGTCTTGAGGATTCTCCACATTGGGGTTTCTATAAGACATGTTGGGGTTTGGGCGATAGCTTGGATTGTATCCCTTGTTCCCATAGTTTCCAATGTAGTTCACATCTTCTTCATTGGCTTCATTAGAGAAATCTCCCATGCATTCTCTTGATGGGTCTTCATTAGCATCACTCATCCCTTCTATTGCATTGATATGCTTGAGCTGTCCCTTAAGAACTTGAGCCATCATGTTCTTGAGTTCAGTCATTTGAAAAGAATCAGGGGAGCTAGTAGTGGTGCGGCTTGAGCGGTCATAATCAGGACAGTTGTTACAATCACTAGCTGCAAGATTCTCAATAAGAACCTTAGCTTCATCAACAGTCTTGGTCATGAAGTTTCCATTGCTTGCAGTGTCCAATGAAAGCTTGTACTTGTGGTCTATGCCACGATAGAAGATGTTCCATAGGTTTCCCTCATTGAAACCATGATTAGGGCAGTCCCTAATGTACTCCTTGAATCGATCTAGCGCCTCATAGAAAGATTCATTGTTGGCTTGGCGAAAGTTGGAGATCTTGTTCCTTACAGAAATTGATCTTTGCTTGGTGTAGAAGTGGTTGATGAATGCAGCCTTGTACTCATCCCAAGTGGTGATGGAGTGAGCTGGCAGAGACTTCAACCATCTTGAAGCTTTGTCGCCAAGAGAGAATGAAAAGAGCTTGCACTTAAGGTAGTCAGCAGAGACTCCATTGGATCTTGTAGTGCTGCAAATTTCTTCAAAGTTTTCTATGTGATCAAGAGGGTGCTCAGCTGGAAGTCCATTGAATTGGTTCTGTCTAACCAATGCTATGATCTGAGGCTTGATCTCATAGTCATTCCTTGCAGGAAGTGGTGGATGGATAGGGTTTCTATCCATGAAGAAAGCATCGGCAGAGTCATAGTCTCCGATTGTAGGTGCTCCAGCTTGGGTTGTGCACATTCACATCTCCAGCAGGGTCTTGTGGATTAGGAGGAGGAGGTGGATCTCTTCCTTCTTCTTGAGCGCGCGCCACTTCAGCGGCGTGAGCGCGAGCTGCTTCGTCGGCCATCTCTTGGGCTTTCTGCTTCCTAAGTTGCTTCTCAAGCTTGTCTATCTCTGGATGTTCAACTAGGTTGTCCTTGTTGGACCTCCTAGTCATGCACCTGAAAAGAGTCTTGGAAACAAGTTAAATCAAAAGGGAAAAACAAAAACAAAAGCAAAAATCAAAGAAAAGAAATCAAAAACTAAAAATTCAAAAGCAAAAGAAAAGCAAAACAGGAAAAGGTTCTAGACTAGATCCTAGTCGAGTTCCAAAGGTACTGCTGCAGTCCCCGGCAACGGCGCCAAAAACTTGATGCGGAGTCAGGTTTTACCAAACTCCTAGACCTCTGCAAGTGCACAGATCGCGGAAGTATGGGTATCGAACACAAGGACTGGCTATTGAGTACACTTTGTAACTATGGATTTTGGATCAAGCTAAAACAAAAGTATGATTGAGGTTGTAATGGTGAACCGAACTAGCAAGTATAACGAGGTTGTAAACAATAAAGGAAAAGCGCTAGGTCATAGGGGCTATCGCAGAGAAGCAAGCAATGATCAATGAAACAATGATAGATTAATTGATTAGGGATATTGGGATATTAAGAACCATCTAGAACACAGATCACGAATATAAAACCATTCCACTTTCGAGGCTCCGGCTCCTTTGTTAATCTACCTAGTCGCTAAACTTTTGGTATGTCCCTAGGTGATTAAATCAAGCATTAGAATGAATAGGTTCTGATACAGTTCACTAGATATAGATAGATCAACTTTCGCAGTCTAAGAAACCTAGCTTGTCAAAGAATATGTCCGGCGAATGATACAGCACTGTCGAGGCTCAAATCAACCTAAGATCGGATTACTAGATGCGCGGTAAAGCAATCAGCATTAGTTAAGTGCACAAGACGAGACAAAGACTCTAATATAATCCCTAGCTAATCATTGAAATCAAAGATCATGCAAGCAACTCATTGAATAGTAACCCTAGCAACCTAACTAGTGGATTACTCAGACATGATCAAAGCAAACACACATAGAGATGAAGAAAACATGATTGCAATAAAACTTAGAGTAGGAAATCGAAATACAGGGCGGCTCTCTTTCACAAGAGGCTAAAAAGCTATATATATAGTGCTAGGTCTTTTGAGGCGGCTTAGGGTTAAGCCGGGCTTGAAAATATGAAATTTGGGCTTCAAAACGGGCTTCGGGTCGACCGCGGCGTTGGGACGGTCGGTCGGGACGATCGGCCGGACAATCGGGTCGTGGCCGAGTCGGAACGGTCGTGGCCGGACGGATTCGGTCGGCCGGCGTGGTCGGCGGATGAGATTGGCCGATGGTTCTCGGCCGGACGTGGGACGTTCTTCCCGGCTCGGACGGATGCATCGTGCGCGGCGTGGCGTGACGCTTGAGCTTGGCCGACCGCGGGACATGTTTCCCGGGTCGTGATTGCGTGATCGGCCGGTCGGTTTGGACTTTGGCCGAGACTTCAGTCGGACGGATGTGATTTGGCCGAGCGCGGAACATTCGTTCCTCGGCCAGCCGGACTGCGCGGTTTGGGCGCTGATTCTCGATAGAGCCGTCTGGACAGTCTTCACTCTTTTGGTTAACTCCTTTTCTACTCATCCAAATGAGGCCATTCCAGTTGCGTTGGAAAGTTAACTCAATCAGAGCACGCAGGGAACTGGTCTTGATGAAATCCATTGAGTAGATCTTTTTCTGGGCCCTCTTAAAGTTGGTGCTTGTGCATGGAGCGGCTTGAAGTGCAAATCCTATGGTTTTGCTCCAAAATGCATCATTTCACCTGTTTAGACTCTAGACACTATAAACACAGTAAAACTACCTTTTTAGATAGAAAACCTGCCAAAAACCATTAGAAAACAATGCTAAAACAGTATAAAAAGTGGGTAAATTAGAGGTATATCATTCTGCTTCACTAACGGAGGTTGGAAACAGGAAACAGCGATCGCGGGAGCGGGATGGGTTTTCACCAACAGAGAGGGTTTCAAACTCGACTCCGGCAGCTTGGCTGAACCATTCGCCTTATCTCCACTCATAGCTGAAGCCATTGCTATCAGATCTGCCTTAATGCAAGCTTTGGAGAAGAATTTTCTCCACCTACAAGTCAAATCAGACCCTCAAGATCTAATATGAGCCCTAACATCGCAAGAGAAAATCAAGGAAATCTACGGTCTCCATTTTGATATTCAATCTCTAGAAAAGTTATTTACCTCAATCTCCTTTCGATATGTTCCGAGATCGGAGAATTTGGAAGCCGATGTGCTTGCAAAATCGGTTTCATGTGAACTAAACTCCCGTCTCTTCGAATGCTTGTAACCACTTATTTCCTTTAATGAAAAGTTTGTTCAAAAAAACAAAAAATATTAAACTACAACATATATTAATTTAAAACACTAATCTATTATTTCTTTCATGCACTTTATTTTCAGTTGTGAAAACTTTTTTTTTTGGGTTTTAAATTGTAATATTTCTGAAATAGTTCTCTCATTTGCTCTCATAATTTTCCATATCAGATTGTTCTCTTCTTCAGATTTTGTGAAGCATATAAGAGTTTTGATTTGATTGGATCCTGATTGATCTCTAACTGGACATGTCTCTTCTTGATGACATGTTTCTAAGTAGTGTGTCCACCCTGAGAGATGCAGATGAATTCTAATTGATTTAGATCCTTCGGATGAATTGTTGAATTTGAAGATTTTTATTTGATTATCTCTATTACTGTCAGCCACGACGATGTCAAGCTTGGCTATTTGATTTTCTATGCCATAACAACAAGTTTTGATTAAGGTTATCTCATCTGATTTTTCCAATGAACCTATGTAAGAAGTTTCTGTGATTTCTTATGAGTTTTGGATTGTTCAAAGTGCCCTTTTAGCTCTCTTTTATATTATAAGATCCTTGCGATCCTTTTGTTCATTAGTACCTCAACGCTTGTAGAGTTTAAGTAATTAAGACTAATTTTTGATGTCATTACTTCAAAAGGTGCTTAGATCATATTAAATTAGCATCGATTGGGATTTAAGTCTCCAAGCCGTAACCGTGTTTCCATGATTCCTTTTATGATCAGGGATTGTCTAACTTATCGGTTTCCGATAGATTTTTATGCACAAATACAATGAATTTTATATATACTATGATTTAGCTAAGGAGGTTTTGGTTGGATTTGAAAAATCACAACACATGAGAATATACCAATATCATTTTTCCTCCACAAAAATAGAATAAAAACAAAGTGAGCAAAAGGAACAGACAATAGTGCACCGGCCGTCGGACAGGGGTGAGACCCACATGCAAGAGAGGGTGGGGGTGGCTTACCGGGATGGGCGGTCAGGGCGTTATAATTTGGTATCAGAGCCAAATCCAGAGGAAAGTGTGGAGTCAAGTTGAGTGGCCTGGACTCACACCGTCAAAAGGTGACGATCCAGGTGCGCAACGAGAACGTTGCGTGCAGTGAGTGGGGGTGAACTTGATGATAAGATTTGTGTGTGGGTGTGAAAGATATGAAATGAGATGTGGTGGAATGCAACAGTGGTATATAAGATGAGGTGGTATGATGCAAACACAATCACAATCAACAATTCCCTTAACCATCATAGTCATTATAGCATAAGGGTTATCAATCCAAAATGGGAAATTGTCACTCTATGAGAATATGAAAAACAAGGAAGTCAAGCAAGCAGTAAATTGAATGGGGTAACACTAACAACCTAATGAAACAGAAATGCAATGCATAAAGTAAAAAAGCAGTAAAGCAACAGCTCGACCAAGGACTCGAGTCGAGTGGAACAGAGTACCAGCTCGATCGAGTTTAGGGTCGAGTTGAAGTAAAAAGCAATAAAGGCAGCGACTTTAACAAGCTAAATGCGAGAATTAGGGTTCAAGACAGGGTTTTGCAATCAGAGGAAGCTATACTTAATCAATCTTGCTCTTAAAACTTGTATCAAGGCTTCTCTTGATATTGGGCTTCTCAATGCCTAGCTAACCCTTTCCCAAGGTGAAAGCTATCAACCAAGGAATGATCTCAGAAACAGGGGGTTAGCCAGTGAGAATCAAGCCTTGGAGGCCATAGGATCATTGCCCAAACTAATCCATCCAACCCCTATGAACTCCATTTCGAGAGCAAGAGTTATTGGAGCTCTTAGTGGACCTTTTCCAGCGATTTCCATCACTTCCATGTGGAGAATCGCCTAAGGACATACAAGCCAGGGGTAGTGGTCATGTAGCCTTAAGATTATCCAAAAGAGAGAGATCTAGATTAAGACCATAAGCAAGAAGGATTAAGCATATGAAACCTCTAATCTATCCCATCTCAAACCCTAAGGGTAACTACTCACTACACATGAATGTAAACACAAGCAAATGCAATAAAAGAGACATCATAAGAAAGAGGAGATGAAATAAACAACTTTTATTGAAATAAGCAAGTGCAAATACAAAAAGATAATCCAGGATCTAGGATTCAAGAAGCAAGAGCTTCAAGAACACAAAGATGGATTAGAGTTCTAAAAAGTAAAGACAATAAATTAAAAGAAAGCTAAAACAAAATAATCTAAAGCTTGGTGGTTTTTTCGTGGCTTTTAGCCTTTAAATACAAGAGGATTAGGTTTAGGGTCAAAGGAAAGTCAAGGGGGAAGCAACATTTTTCGGGTTTGACTTTGACTTCTCAGCTCGATCGAGTTGAAGCTTGGCCGGTCGAGTTGAGGAACTCGACCGGTTGGTCGAGTAGGTGGTCGAGCTGGTCTTCAAGATGGCTTCTCCTTCTTCCTTTGCGTATCCAGTTGAGCTGCGTCCATGCCAAGTCCCTTCCATGCTCCTCACGTCCCATATGCTCCAGAATGCTCCAAAAGACCTATTTCAAAGGACCAAACATGCATATGTATGCAAATGCAACCTAAAACTACATGAATGCATAAGAAGAGAAAAGGAACAAGATATGATGCTAATGGATGCTAAAACTATGCAAAAGATGCATAAAAGATGTACTAAAACTATGTAAAATGCAAGTACATCAACACCCCCAAACTTGAACTTTGCTTGCCCTCAAGCAAACAAATAGAACAAGAAAGAGATGAGGTTTGAAAACAAGTTGATTCAACACTTAAAAACATGTCCTCAAAAGCGATTTGCTAAATGTCCAACTTAGAGATTCTAGAATGCAACAAGGTGAGAGATATTCATTAAGATTTAACCATGCTTATCAACATCAATCCCACTTCACAGTCACTCAAACAATGCATTCAAATCAGCAAATCCCTTTAACATTCATTAAGCAAAAACAGTGAACCAAAAACATGCAAGATCAATCAACTCATTTGGTTTCAAGGGTTTATGGGTTAAGAGACAAAGAGGGTCTCTTTTGTATGGTGGTTTAGTAACAGGGATCTCTCAAGAAAGTGGCTTTGCTTTGGCAGAAGGCTAAGTGTTAGAACCAAAGATGATGCAAGAACAGCAGCTCGAGCCGCCTAATCCTAACTCGATCGAGTTCAACACTTAGAGCTTTTTAGAACAAAATCCTAACTACCCTTTTTGGCATTTCGCCTTTGAAACTGAGGAGCTTTGCTCACTTTTCTTTTAAGAACATCCTAGGGAGAGGCTTCTTGAGGTAACATCTAGCGGTTTGGGATTTTCTAAACACTTAGGGAACTTTTCTTTCTTTTTGACACTTGAGGCTTTGCCTTCTTTTCATTCTACTTAGAACCCTTTTTACTTCCTTTTTTAACTTCCCAAACCTTTACTAGACCCTTTTTAACACTGCCAACTCCCTGGACTTAACTAAACTCTTTTTCCTTTGGATTTTCCCAACTTTTACCACTTTTCTGGTTTTTGACACCCAACTCGATCGAGCTCGAGTTGGCACCCCCAAACTTAGCCTGAAAACAATCCCAAGAGAACTAGACAACTAGAACTACTGCCCCTGCCGGTTTAAACACAACACCTTATGCTAAGCAAAGCCAAGAAAGGTTCTCACAATCGCACAAGAGATAATATGGGGTTTGAAATGAAAAGGCTTAGGTTTAAGGTGTGGTAACTGTCTCAAAGATGGAGATCAGCTATCTGGACAAGCAAGAGGGATATGAAAATAGGTAAAGAATGTCCAGATATGTATGTGGTAGCCATGAGTTGAAATCAAATGCAAGCATTGGTAATTAAAGATCAAGTTATGGTTCAAATAGATAGGGAAATGCATCAAATCACAGCAATGGTTGAATGAGATGTGCATGCAGTGATATGATCAAGATAAACATGGTTCTTGTTGCTCAATCAATCTCACCCTAATGCACAAAAGAATCTAAAAACAGGGCACTCAAGAAATCGCAAATGATGAACAAGTTTTCAAATCAAATCAACAATGCAAGTGAAAATGCAATCCTAAACAATCTAACAAATATGAATGCAAAAAGATGAAAATATTTTTGGATTTTTTGAAAATTTTATGATTTTTTTGGTTTTTCTATGCAAAAGATGAATGAAAAACTAAGAACAAAGAAAACAAGGTTAAATCATCTCTTGAACCCTCCCCCAAACTTAAATCACACAGTCCCTTGTGTGAGAGAAATTTAGTGAAAGATTCAAGAGGGCAAAACCAAGAAAAAAAAACAAATGCAAGAAAATATGAAATGGTATTACAAGGGTTGGTGTTTGGATACCTCAGTGCCCCCCAAAGAACTGGGAGGCAAGGTCGTGGTCTGGAGAGGGCAGACGGCCATCAGGAGCACTCCACTCAACTGTTCGTCAGCTCGATCGAGCTTGCTCTCTCTTCTTCCTCTTCTTCATCTCGAAGTGGTGTGGCTCCTTGGCCTTGGTGGAGCTGTGCTCGCTCGAAGCGGTTGTAGGGGTCCATGGCTCTGAGGAAGTCCTGGTAGGCTGGATCGTACTCGAATCCAGGGTTCTCGAACAGGGGCTCCTCCAGGTCAACTCGACCTCAGCTCGAGTCGAGCTCACTCGATCGAGTTGGAGCGCGCCTTGGAACTCTTCCTCCCTCTGCGTGTTGTCTCCTCCTTCCCTTGGCTCGAAATGAAGAGGCTCTGTGAGGCTCTTGGGCAGGGAGCCTCCTTGGGTGGTGAGGAGTGATCTACTCCTAGGGAAAGTAGGAGCCATGGGTGCCTTCTTCTTCTTGCTTGAAGAACCAGAAACCTTCTTCTCCAAACTCTTGATCTTGCTCACCATCTTGTCCATGGACTTTTGCATCTTTCCATGGCTTTCCCTTGCCACTTGTTGAACCTTTGGAGAAGTCCAATCCTCTTGTGGCAGCCACAACAGAGGGGTTCATCCTTGGAGCCTCATACTCCTCAAAGTAATAGCACTCAGGCTCACCCAAATCCTCATTCACTTGAGCGTTGTCCTCAACTCGATCCTCAGCTCGATCGAGCTCAGGCTCCTCTTCTCGCAAATCCTCTTCATGCCCAACTAACGTGTGACAGGGGGTCTGAAGTCAATGTTGTACCTCCTACCGTGGTGAGCTCAGGGTTGGGCAGAAGAAGCTTGGAAGGGCCAGCCAATGGATGTGTGAACTTGAATTGGAACCTCCCATCCAACTCCTTGTGCTCAATGAGGAGGTTGGTCTTGCAAAACTTGATGTCCATCCACCTGCTGGAGTAGACCTTCTCTTGTCCATGGACTCCAGCTGCACAGAGATTGGTGTGATGACCCTCCAACACTAAGCTTCCTTCCCGTTTGCCGTGTGTATAGGCTGTCTTGTAGGAGAGAGCTGGTCAAGGAGAGGCATGAGATTCCCTGCATGGATCTATCTCCTCTGATCTTCTTCCCATCCTTGTGCGTGAGATGATGGGCTTGATTCCCATGTCAAGGAGCTTCACCTCTCCTCATTGATTGTCCAGTGGCTTTCCTTGCAAAGAAGGTGTTGGCAAGAGCCTTGTGGACATATCTAGCACAGGCTTCCTGATCTGAGCAGCCTTGGACCTTGAGGAAGAGTATCCTCTTCAGCAATTGTAGCCCATACTCTTTGGAGCTCATCTCCTTGATTCCCAATGGTTCCCTCTCCATAGTGAAACCAAAAGATCTCCAACTGCCTAAAGGTCACCTTCCTTTCTCTCCCTTGCCAAGAACGTGATCCATCCCAAGCCTTGGTCCAACTCAGCTCGATCGAGCTCATACTTGTGACCTCATTGACGCCAAAAACTCACAAGTGAGCTCCTTGTATGACTCCATGCGGTGAGAGAAGAACTTGGCCAAGCGCATGTTCTTGAGGACTAGCTCCACATCCTCAAAGATCCCAAGAGCCTTCATTGTGTCATCATGTGGGTACTTGGTCTCCACAAAGTCCATGGAGAAGAGAGCATGTAGTGCTCTTGGTACATGGGGAGCTCATCCTCTTCTTCTTCTGACTCAGCCTCCTCCATGGGCACATTCTCATTGCTCTCATGCTCACTTCCTCAACTTCTTGATTGACCTCTTCTCCTTCCTCTTGTGAAGAGTCATCACTCTCTCCCCTTCCAATGTTCACACCAATCTCGAATTCTCCCAATTCACTCTCACTACTGATTGGGTCATTCCTCCTCTTGGTCCTTCTCTCTTCCCTCAACTCTCAATCTCTTCCTCATCTTCCTTGGTTAGTGTCTTTGCATCCTCCTTGCTCCTCTCACTATCTCCTCCTTTGTGAACGCTGCCTTGCTTCCTTCACCTCTCAACATCTTAAACTGTTGCTTCTTCAAAGTTGGGTTCCTGAAATCATCAAAAACTCAAGGAATTAGAGTTGTAATCGTTGGTTCGGTCAACTCGACACTCAGCTCGATCGAGTCAAAAAACTCGAGTGACAAACTCGATTGAGCTAAGTGAAAACAGAGTAAACCGAACCTAATCAAACAATAAGAGCTGGAAAGGATGCTTAATCAATCAAATTCGAACCAAGACATAAGAATGGAACAATAAGCAATTCTAGTGAAAAACCAAAGCATCTAACCAATACCAAACTCAAATTCAAGATTTCAAGCACATGCAACAAGTTTAATGGCAAAACAGAGGTGAGGTGAGGCAAATTCACAAGATTATATAAACAGGAGGCGAAAAGAAAGCAATATTCAAGAACAAGTCCACAAGGGACACATGCAATCAAAAATCAAGAGAAAACAAGCAATAAGGAATCGAGAGAGGATTCAGGGGTTTAGGTTCATACCTTGCTTGGATGATGGAGAATCACAGTAGCTAGAATAAAGCAAACAAGATGATGAACAATGAAATCGCAAAAACTTAAGAGAGGAGAGAAATTTCGATTTTTCTTGTGGTGAAGAGAGAGATGGATGATTTTCAGAATTTTAGATTGTGGGAGAGAGGGAGAAGTGGGTTCGATCGAGTTATGGGGAAGAGGGAGTGTTTGAGATGTGTGGTTGAGATTAAAAGGTAAATAAAGAGGGGACAAAAGGCAAGGGATTTTCTGATCGATTTCAGGAAGTGGGGGACCAAAATTACTTGTGGGACCCACTCCTTGACCAAGGAAAACGGTTAGAAATTTGAAATTCAAAAACTTACCTTGGTCGAGTTGTGGAACTCGATCGAGTTGCCCTGTTTCTAGCTCGATCGAGCTATCGGTCGAGCTGGCTCCTTTGTCACCTAAACTTAACTTATTGAAAGGTTAAAGACACGAAATAGATAGAAATTGCAATAATAGAATATGTACAAGGATAAACATGGGACTTCCTCCCAAGTGAGCTTGTTTAAGGTCCCATAGCTTGACCTTTACCTCTTAGGCATTGGTTGAGCTAGTCCCACCATCAAGGGTGATAGTGAGGACTTGAGACAGAAGCTCCTTTAGCTTGGTTGGGTCCCTGGACTGTTCTGAAGTCACCAAGGCTTTGGCTCTAGAGAATGGCCTTGATCTCCCCTTGTACCTTATCTTGTACTCAATCTTCCCATTTTCAAACTTGGTGGGGAACAAAGTCATTGTGAGCTGAGATGGCTTGGTTGAGGAAACTTGGGCTGATGGGTTCTTTCTTTTCTCTCCCACAAGTGCCTTTGAGGCTGCATCATGATGCGGGATCAGGTTTTACCTATTCCTATCCCTGATTCTGCAAGTGCACAGGTCAGATGTAGTAACGGGTTATCGAACACAAGGACCAGATAAGTTTACACTATGAGTTTATGAGATTCGAATCAAGCTAAGACTCAAGTATGGAGGTTTGTTGTTGTCACGGTTTCAAAGCAAAACAAGTAAATAAGGTGAAAGCAATAGAAGAAAGCATTGGGCATAGAGGATTCGCAAGGTTTCATAGATTGGATCAAGCAAATAGATAGGGAAATCAATAGTTTGTTCTAGAACTCGAATCAATAAGTATAATTGACCTACTCCCGCAGTGCCAATTACTATGTCTAACAACCTAAATCACACAACTTCCGCAGGTAATCAAGAGGTTAAGCATGTAAGAACAGTTCAAATTCGATAGCTCTACTTCCGTAGGTCTAGTTCACAAAGCTTTGCAATTCTACTTCCATAGGTTACTATGCCTTGCTCATCTAAGTTGATTCAAGAGATTTATCAAGCGTCAGAATGTAAATCTACCTAAGAGCATTAGCTTAGACGGTCAATCAAGCTACAAGCAATAAACACAAACTTAGATGAAGAACTTTAATGATAAAACCCTAATCTAGCAACCTAACAATCAATCCATGAAAACCCTTTGAAAACTCTTAAACCCAACAAGGAGATTACTCAAACATAGTAACAGAGATCAAGCATAGAGATGAAGAAGAATTCATAATAAAACTTGATAGAAAGTAAAAGGGTTTAGAAATCTCCTCTATAGTGTTACAAAGGTGAGATCTTCTCCCATGAAGCTCTAAAACGAAATCAATGTAAACTCTCTAAAACTAATGCGGCCCTCTCCTCTAAAGAGGCTAAAAAAGAGTATTTATAGTGCCCTAGGTCTTCACAAGTCGGTTTAGGTTAATTGGGCTGAGAATTGTCAAAACTGCATAAGTGGGCTTCTTGTTCGCGGACATCGGGTCGACCGTGCAAGGGATGTGGTCGGCCGTCGGGGTCGGCCGTGATGTGATGTTCTCGGTCGATCGTGGTCCATTGCCTCCCGGCTCGGACGGTGCGGTCGTGCGGTCGGATCGGTCCTGGAGAAGGCCGAGCGAAGCCAATTCCCTTCCTGTCCGGCCGAGTGCGTTCGGCCGGCTGTAACCAGTCTTCAGTACAAACGTGATATCTCCTAAACGCGCTTATCCAAATTGCATACTTCCAACGGCATTGGAACACTAACCATCTGGCTATCTTGGTTCGATTTTTATGAAATCCATTGAGTTTAAGGGTCCAAGCCGCTGCTGCTCGTCTGATGTACTGATGCAGTCCGATAAAGCTCCTCGGTATATGTCTCAGGGAAATAGAGATATCTCCCAATCTACTCGGTCAAATTGATTGATTCCAGTTGCATTGCAAAGCTAACTCATGTATGCATCGCCAACTGGTTTGATGAAGTCCATTGAGTAGAATGTTTTTAAGGCCCTTCTTAAGTTGATGCTACGTCCTGGAGCGGTCTTGAAGTCCAAATCCTGTGTTTTGCTCCAAAATGCATCTTTTACCTGTTTAGACTCTAAGTACTATAAATACATAAAAACTACCTTTTTAGATCAGAAAGCCATTAAAAACCTTATGAAAAGCATAGTAAAACCATATAAAAAGCATGTAAAATAGAGGTATATCAACTCCCCCAGACTTAGATCTTTGCTTGTCCCCAAGCAAATCGAATCCAAACTAGTGAAGAGGTTTTGAAAACATGGAAACTCACTTATCCTTTAGAACTTGTATCTACCATTGCTCTGCTTTCATTTGGAGCAAAACCAACTTTGAAACTAGCTTTCCCGTACTGACCTTGAGCTTAGCGAACCATACCGGACCCAACAAATCTCATCCAGTATTCCAAACTCTCTATTGCTAACTCCTTGCAGTATTTAAAACGTGTGGTCTTTATCAAGGGAGTATTGATCACAGAGCATTGATTCTTACCCATCCAAGTGTTTGCCAAGACAGTCTTTTTAGCACATTCAGTACCAAACCTCTCTCCTTCTCTCTTATCATTGAAGGATCAATTTTTCCCTACTTTTCTAGGGTATCATTTTATTTTTTCTATCGATCCTCCTTCCCTTAAGATTTCTCTTACTGGGACACATGGATTGGCTTAAGCTTCCTCCTTGTTTATAAGGTATTCCATAAGACATGAAGGTACAGAAGTATGCATTCCTCATGCTTACTTGTTTTCCTTGTGCTATAAAGCTTTTGATCTTTTTTTGCAGATAAGAGAGAGGATGGACTGTTTCTTTATTGACATGTCTCAACTAGACCTGAATGAGGAGTCGGCTCATATGTATCTCAAGCCCCTTGACAAGAAAATTAAAGGTTCATTAAGTTGTGGAGTTAACTCTAGATTGCGTGGGTACCTTAGAAATATTGCCAAATCAGTAGGTCGATCCACCCTCAGAGGTTCCGTTAGGCATTGTTCGGCGTCGGTATTCGCCTTTGTGATCACAAGAGCTTTGGTGTGATAAGGTAAGCTCCTAGGATAGATCATAGTTTCCTAACTTATTTTGACTCAATAAAACAGAAGTTTTGAAAAAGGTTGAAAAGAGAAAAAGATATAAGATAAAGACAAGGCATGAACAAACGCATTAGTACCAACAATCCCCCCAGACTTAACTTGCACCGTCCCGGTGAAAGAAAATCCGATTAAGGGAGGAAAAAGAAAGAGGTAATAATGTGTGAGTGAATGAGAATAAAGATATAACCTGATTAGACCTTAAGTCCATGAAGAAACGACCCATTGGTGATATGTGGATGTCCTTCTCCTTTGATAGGTTGAGATAAGCCTTAGGTCATCAAGATCAGGGCCGAGTTGGTGAATGAGACACTTCCTCATGTGATATTCGTCGGTGAGTATTGAATTTCAGGGCCTGGTTCACTCCGGTTTGCGATTTGGCCGAGTATGGTCCATTTCGGTCGTCCGACAGGGTATGCTATGAACCACAGAACAAAACATAAAGAATTCCTCGACCCATATTGCAATTTCATTGACCAACCTGATAGTTGATGCCCATTGGTGAGGTTGGAGACCATTCGAACGAGCGGTTTGAGAGATCCTTCACAAAGTGGTCCAATCGGCTCTAGGGAGAGGTTTCTTGGCCATCCTTGAGATTGACTGGTTCGTTTTGTAATCTTCCTTTGGAAGTGTGTTAATGAAGCTCCATGAAGTTTTTTCCAGCTGGTGGGCGCGCCTATGCCGTGATTTGGTTTTGTCGGCCATTTTCTAGACTTAGATCGGCCGGATGTAGCTACTTGGTCTATCTCCTGAACCGAGAACATTTCACCGGCCAATCGTTTGTATTTGCTGACCAAAATTCGATTTTATGGTCGCCTGTGAAGTTTGGGAGATGGCTGATGATTGTTCTCTTTGTATCCTCCATGGCCGAGAGAAATAGGCCGGTTAGAATATCTTCAAATCCACTCGGGCCAATTGAGATTTTCTTCGACCAAAGTGATTTTCTAACCATTCTTTATCATTTCCAGGTGTTTCCCGCCTTGTTCCTTGTGATTGGGTATGAACCTCCTTTGAAGCCTCCTTTAAGATAAGTGGGATGTGATGGATGGTGGGATGGGATGGATTGTGGAATAGGATAGGTGGGATGGGATGTAGGGTTGTAGGAGAGAGGTCCAGAGGGAACACGGCTGACCATAGATGCGTTCCGGTCAGTCATCAAAATCGGCCCGGCCATATGATTGCTCATTTCTTCATTTTTCTAGGTTTCTTCTCAAATTTCATGCTAGATTCTCAAATCTCTGAATTCAAAACTTCAAAAACAAAACAAAAACCATTAAACTAAAACAAAAAGTAAAAAAAAAGGGAAAAGAAAACACCTTATGGGTTGCCTCCCATACAGCGCTTGTTTAATGTCATTAGCTTGACGTTATGGCTCTTCTTAGGCGAGTGGGGCATCGACTAAAGGAAATGTTTCTCTCTCATCCTCATCAATGTCTGCGAGATATGGCTTGAGTCTTTGTCCATTAACAGTGAAATCACCTCCAGAACGGTTCCATAGTACAACAGCGCCATATGGTTTCACTTCTTTTATCTTAAAAGGTCCGGATCATCGCGATCTAAGCTTACCGGGAAAGAGTTTCAGGCGTGAGTTGAAAAGGAGAACCTGGTCATTGGGAGAGAACTTCTTGGGGACTATCTTCTTGTCATGATATGCTTTTGTTCTTTCCTTGTAGATCCTAGAATTCTCAAAGGCATTATGACGAATTTCATCCAACTCATTCAACTGAATCAAGCGCCTCTCCTTTGTTGTCTTGATATCATAGTTTAGCTTCTTTACTGTCCATTCCGCCTTATACTCAATCTCAACAGGAAGATGACAAGCTTTTCCATAGACGTGAAAGGATGTTTCCATAGACAAGGTGAAAAGGAGTTGTTCCAAGTGGGTTTTGAATGCAGTTCTATATGCCCAAAGAGCATCATCAAGCTTTACTGACCAATCCTTTCTTGTCATTCCCACTGTCTTCTCTAAGATCCTCTTGATTTCTCTGTTAGAAATCTCTACTTGCCCACTTGTCTGAGGGTGATAAGGAGTAGCAACCTTGTGTCTCACTCCATTTTTCTTCAGTAGTCTTTCAAAGACCTTGTTGATGAAATGAGATCCTCCATCACTAATCACAACTCTTGGGATACCAAATCTTGGAAAGATGATCGACTTGAATAACTTTATCACCACCTTGGAGTCGTTTGTAGGGCTGGCTATGGCTTCTACCCACTTAGACACATAGTCAACAACAACAAGGATGTACTTGTTCCCATAAGAAGAAGGAAAAGGACCCATGAAGTCTATTCCCCAAACATCAAAAACTTCCACTTCTTGGATGAAGTTTTGTGGCATCTCATTCCTTTTGCTGATGTTTCCTTGTCTCTGGCAAGCATCACACTTAGAGATGAAGTCATGGGCGTCCTTAAACATGGTGGGCCACCAAAAACCAGCTTGCAAGATCTTAGCAACAGTCTTGTTAGTAGCAAAATGTCCTGCATAGTCAGATCCATGACAAGCAAAGAGAACTCCTGGGACTTCTTCTTCTGGAATACATCTTCTAAACATACCATCAGAACAATGTTTATAAAGATAAGGTTCGTCCCAAAAGTACCTTCTAACATCACGTAAGAATTTCTTCTTCTTGTAGCCAAAGAATTGGGGTGGTGGATGATCAGCAGCAAGATAGTTGGCAATGTATCTAAACCAAGGAGTGTCGGATGGTGCTGGTTTTGGAGGGGCTCTAGGACGTCTCTCAAGATGGAAAACTTCCTTAGAACTATCTGCATCACACTCTTTAGGCATTACAGTCGAAACCTTGTCTCTTAAGCACCTTTCATGATCAGAGTTCACTGATTTGATAACTTCATAAGATCTTATGTAAAGAGCTTGCTTGGAAACGTTTTGAGGCTTCTCCTTCTCTTCTCCATGGTCTAAACTCAATCTGCTGCCATTCCTAATGGTTATACAATAAGAGCTCTTGGTAGGGACTGCTGGATAAAAGACTCTTTTCTTTACTCTAGAGAAAGAAACTCTTTGGTTTGGATAGTCCACATTAGCTCCAACTGTTGCAAGGAAGGAACTACCAAAAACCAATGGCGTTAGGGGTTCCTCATTCATCTCTAGAATATGAAAATCTGTAGGAACAAGACAACCTCCCACTTGTACCAATATATCTTGAGCAAAGCCATATGGGGTAATAGTAGAGGCGTTTCCAAACTTCAGTGATGTTTGAGAGTCTTTAATGTCAATTATTCCAAACTCATCTGCTATAAGCTTAGACATAACATTCACATTAGCTCCTGTATCGCAGAGGGAATCAATAAAATCCATACCATTGATTGTGCATGGGAAAACAAATTGCCCTGGATCTTCCATCTTATGCAGCTTTCTTTGATGAGGTCCCTTGTAGATTGGCTCATCATCTTCAGGCCATTCCAATGGGTTTTTGAGGGTTGAATGATCTATAGGGGCTGGTGAGACCACGTCCTTGTTCTGAGTTGTGATAACTTTGCAAACTCTTGGATTTAACTCAGTCTTACTTGGAAGAAAGCCTTCTTGCCTCTTCATACCTTCTGCAGTTTGAGCAACTTGTACCTCAAGCATCTTCACATGATTGGTTAGATCAAATAGCTTTGCAAATATCTCATCATCTTTTCTGTTGAGATGACCATAGTCGTTCGCCATTTTATACTCAAGGTTTTCAATCTCTTGGGCGTTTTGCTCTTGTATTTCCATCATATGTTGTTGATTTTCCATTAGCTGTTGCATCATAGCTTCGATTCTTTCCTCTCTAGCATCAATGTAGTTGACTTCTCCTTGCTGCTTGTGAGTGTTATCACCATTACACTCCTCTTTATCCTTAACATGAGAAGCTCCCACGTTCTCACATTGGTATGCATCCCTTTGCTGGTTCTTGAGAAATTGAGCAACCATTGATTTCAGCTCAAGGATTCCTGAAAAGTCTGAATTTGGCTTGATGTCCTCCACGTTTTTCTCATAATCCAAGAAAGAATATTTGTTGCTTTCAGCCAAGTTATCAATGAGAGTATTGGCTTGAGCAACTGTATTAGTCATGAAGTCCCCTTGACTTGCGATGTTGAGGGCCATCTTGAATTTCTCATCAACTCCTTAATAGAAGAAGTTTAGCAAAGCAATCTCTGTAAAACCATGGTGAGGGTACTCTCTCTTGTACTCCTTGAACCGTGAAGCAGCT